GGTGACATTGAGCTGAAATGTGAATCAGGTGAGGAGGACCATGTAGATGTAGGAAGAGGGAGGGAAAGCTTCCCAGGCAGAGTAATGGCCCTTGTGGGGGCCCTGAGGCAGGGATCCATTGCTGTTGCTAAGAAAAAAACTGCCCTATAATTTAGCAGCTTAAAAAAAAACATTTTACATTTTGCTCACAATTTTGTGGGTCAAATTTGGTGAGGGAATTGGGGAAGTAGATCTGTTGGGTGCTTTTCACTAGGGGTCTCATCCTGCTGCATCTGAAGGGTGGGACTGGGCTGGCCTGCACTGGCTTTCCCTGAGGGCACCCTTTCACACCGGAGCTCAGTGGTCAGTGGATCTGAGTAGCCTGGAGTCCTGGGTACTTCGGGTTAACTTGAAGTGCCTGCCTGCCTTCCTTTGCTCCTTAATAGTTTTAAGATTTATTTATTTGGTTTATCCAAGGCTCCAACTTTAAAAACACCAGTTTTTTTTAATTGAGGTTATATACACATAATAAAATTAATTATTTTGAAATGTACTCTTTCATGTTATTTAGCACAGTGACAATGTTGAAAATGCTAAAGAGTTTTACAGTGAAAATCTCCTTCCCTCCCCATTTCTTTCTAGTTCCTGCGTGTTGCTCAGAGATAAATATATATACATTTTTATTTTCTGTGTATTTTGTACTACATATATTACCCTTGCTCTTTTGATAGTGGCAACAATTAGAAAATAACAATACTTTACTCTTCTCTGGTGCTTATTCTGTGCTAGTCACTATTCTAAGACCTTCACATGTATTATCTCATTTAATTCTCAGATGCATCTCACAAGATAGGAACTGTTATTGCTTTCAGTTTATAAATGATGAAACCAAGGCAGAGAGGCTAAGTAACTTACCTAAGGACACATAAGCTAGTGAGTGCTGTAGCCAGGGTTTGAATCTACCAATCAGCCATAGTTACCATCTGTGAGATCTTCATTCTTTTTTTTTACTTTTTTTATTGATTATGCTGTTACAGTTGTTCTATTCCCCCCTTCATTCCCCTCCACCCTACCCCTGTCCCCACCATTACCCCCCTTTAGTTTATGACCATGTGTCTCAAGTCCTTTAGATTCTATATTTCCCATACTATTCTTGCCCCCCCATCTATTTTCTATCTACTGTCTATGCTACTCATTTTCTGTACCTTCTCCCCCCTTCTCCTCCTCCCACTCCCTGTTGCTAACCCTCCTTGAGATCTTAATTTCTATGGTTAGGCTCCTGATCTAGCTGTTCTTTTAGTTTGCTTTTCTTTTAGGTGTGGTTGTTAATAACTGTGAGTTTGTTTTTCTTTCACTGTTCATGTTTTTTTTAACTTCTTTTTCTTAGATAAGTCCCTTTAACATTTCATATAATAAGGGCTTGGTGATGATGAACTCCTTGAATTTGATCTTATCTGAGAAGCACTTTATCTGTCCTTCCATTCTAAATGAGGCTTTGCAGGATAGAGCAATGTTGGTTGTAGGTCTTTGGATTTCATGACTTGGAATACCTCTTTCCAGCCCCTTCTTGCCTGTAAGGTCTCTCCTGAGAAATCAGCTGACAGTCTGATGGGGACTCCTTTGTAGGTGACTGTCCCCTTAGCTCCTGCTGCTTCTAGGATTCCCTCCTTCATTTTAATCTTGGCTAATATAATTATGATGTGCCTTGCTGTGTTTCTTCTTGGGTCCAACTTCTTCGGGACTCTCTGAGCTTCCTGGATTTCCTGGAAGTCTATTTCCTTTGCCAGATTGGGGAAATTCTTCTTTATTATTTGTTCAAAAAAGTTTTCCACTGGTGGATGTTCCTTTCCCCCTTTTGGTACCCCTATAATTTGGATGTTGGAGCATTTAAAGATGTCCTGGAGGTTCCTAAGTCTCTCCTCATTTTTTTTGAATTCTTGCTTCTTCACTCTTTTCTGTTTGGCCATTATTTGCTTTCTTCTGGTCCACTCCTTTGATTTGAGTCCCAGTTTCCTTTTCATCGCTATGGGTTTCCTGTGCAATTCCATTCATTTCAATTAGTTTCGCCTTCATATGTTTGTCTAATTTGTGCCTATAATCAACCAGTTCTGTGAGGATCGTGATCACCAGTGTTTTAAACTGTGCATCTGAGAGTTTTGCTATTTCTTCATCACTTAGATTTATAGGCTCTGGGACTTTGAGATCGTCTTGAGCCATTTTTGGTCTGTTTGCGCTTATTAAGTATGAGGAGGGGAGCTTTGGACTCCCAGGTCGCTGGGTTGTGACGCTGTATGTGGAGGCGGGGTCAGAGCAGGGAAATGGCGACCCTCTCTGCTGTTTCTAGCAGCTGGGTGAAGAGCAGAGCCTTAGGTTGTTCACCGGGGCTGGGCCACTTAGGTCGCTGGATTATGATGCTGCACGTGGAGGTGGGGAAATGGCGGCACCCTCCGCCGCTGCCTGCCGCTGGGGCTGCTGGCTCTTGTCCAATCACCCACTCCCTCGCTTGTCTATCCACACACGAATGTGCAAATGCGCGACCACAGTCAACTCGCAGCCCTGCTCCCTCACTGTTTCCCCGTGATTGCTTACTGAGTTGCCCACCAGGTCGCTCACTGGGTCAGCCCTTTGCAACCCCACGCCTGGGGATCCACGTGCCTGAGTCCGTCTGACCAAGTTTTCCTGTGCTACTCCGCTCTGCCAGCTGCTGGTTTCGCCCTTCTTACCGGTCAGGCTGAAGAATTTGTTATCAGACTTCCGAAAAGTTCAATTTTCTGTGTTCTGGCTGTGTTTTCTGTTGCTAGTATTTAATTGTCTCTAAACTTGGTTGTGTGAGGAAACACGAAGTCTCCACCTATGCCTCCATCTTGGCGGAAGTCTCTCTTCATTCTTTTATGTTTTATTTATTTTAAAAATATTTTATTTATTTATTTTTCGAGAGAGGGGAAGGGAAGAAGAAAGAGAGGGAGAGAAATATCAATGTATGGCTGCCTCTCATGCGTCCCCTGCTGGGAACTGGCCTGCAACCCAGGCATGTGCCCTGACTGGGAATCGAACCGTGATACTCTGGTTCGCAGGCCCGCGCTCAATCCACTGAGCTACGCCAGCCAGGGCTCTCTTCATTCTTTTAAAGAATTACTTTAAAATTCTTTCTTCATTCTTTTAAAATCACTTTAAAAATTAAACTCTTCATGTCCCAATGCCAGGACATTGGCATTGATACATTCCACTCACCTTATTCAATACAAAGCCTAAATTTTTAAAAATTGGTTACAAACATTTAAAGTCAGGAGATTTCACACAAACTGTTAGAACTTTGGCTTCTCTTGAAGAAGCTTCGTATAAAGAAGCTTCCCCAGAAACAAGTCCTGAGGGGAGGTTTAAGTACAGCTAGTTTTTGATGCTTGTCTAGTCAGGTAGTAGGTTGTGGGGCCAGGAGAGCAAAGACACCAGTTAAGGGTATGGTACTGGGAGTGGGGGAACTCAGCCCAGTTCTACTGGGAGACTGGAGACAGTACAGAACATTTCCCCAGACTTACTACCCACTCACCTACACACCCTGGGGAGAGCCAAGGGAGCTGGGATACTTATCCACAAACCTCCATTTCCCCTGTCACTGGCTGCTGGCTACTCCCAGGGCAGCTGGGGAAGAGCTGTCACTTCTCTAGCCCTTCCAGCCCACCTCTGAGCTGGATGAGCAGGCCCTAAGCCAACAGAAGCATCCCCCCAACAGAAAGATGCAAGTGCCAGCCACTGACAGTCAAGATGTGTACAGTGCATGCCATGAGGGGTGGACTAGAGAGCAGCAAAGAACTGGTGGGGACATCAACAGGGCCTGGTACAGGAAGGTGCTCTGTCAATCCTGTTTGAAAGACAGAGTGAATGAATGAATACTGGGAAGTAAACAAGAGTGTATTTCTGCTTGCTTGCCCTTCAAAGCAGCCTCTCTGCTGGTGAGGACCCCGACAACCACAGGCTCACTGTGCCAGCCAGAGCAGGAGTAGCCTAGGGAAGGTCTACAGCCAGGCCTCTCACATCCAAGGGTTGAAATTCTAGCTGTACTCATTACTAGTTGTGTGGCCTCGGGAAAGTCCTATCACCTCTCTAGACCTCAGTTTCCACATCCATAAAATGGGACCGTAAAACCCACAGTACATGAGAGGACAAAGTGAACTGGTTCATGTGGTATGCTCAGAAGTGTGAGCACTTGGAAGGTTTTAGCTGATCTTTTCACCTTCTGGTGCAGGTCCTGCACTGGGAGCTTACATAACCAGTTTGTACCTCCTGCAACTTGGGTGGTTAATTACCACCCATTTGTGTAGATTGGGACTAGTCCCAAGGTCACAGGACTGGTCTGGAGCTGAGCTAGATTCCCATCCAAGGGTGCTGCTTCCCAGAACCACTGGGATTCAAGTGCAGTGACTTCCTGGTTATGTGAGTGAGGCTAGGCCTTACTCTCCTGTCCATAGCACAGCACTAAGGAGGAGCACTTTCTTTCAGAGTCATTAATGGGATTGTGGATGAGAGCCATCTGCAGAGCTTACGGAAGGGATGAGACAGCAAGCACTGTAATGAAAGCCAAGGAGGATACACCTGCTCCTGGGTGGGCTGCTGCCAGGTTTGTCACCCTTCCCCACCACACACACACAGGAGGCAGGGAGAAGGGATATAAGAGGCACTGCCTGCTTTCTACACATATTCCTCCCTCTGTGCCACATTCAGTATCATATGGCTCCCCAGCATATGTCACCAAGACACAAACCCCAGCATATCCTAAAAGTCATATTCTAAACTCACAACCCACTCAAGGCCACAAACAGGGCAAATGGAACTCCATCTAGGTATCTCCCCTGTATTAAGCCTGCCTCTCCCTAGAACACTGCCCGCCCCCCCCCGCCCTTCCCCCCCACCAGCTCTAGTCAGCCTAGCAGCCAGTGACTCTGTGACCTACACATTATTTCAGGCCCTGGGCCCAATGAGGGGCTGGAGGAGGTGGCTAGGGCTGGAGGTTCCCTCCCAGCTAGACCTTGGCTGCCTGGGCCTCTCCACTAAACCAACCTCCACCTCAGCCTCAGACAGACATGTCTAGCCTCCAGGCACTATGCTCTGGCCTGCCCCTGTGGCCCCTCCCGGAAAACCAGGGCCGCTGGGCTGGGGTACCCCATGCCCCAGTTAGGACCCCTGGCCTCAGTCCTGCAGAGGAGCAGGTAAGAAGCTGAGCCCTGTTCCTGCTGGGACCCTTTGCCCTCTGGGTGGTTCTTGGTGGGTATTCCCTACTTCCTCTCTCTGCAGGAGCTGAGGCCCAAAGTCTCTAGGAGCTTCCAGTGGGGTGGGGGAACCCATGTGTGTCAGACTCCATGACATCCCACATCCCTCACTCTCTCCCCAATGACCACCCTTGGGTATGGGATTATGGTCTCCATTTATAAGGACCCTGAGGCTCAAGGTCACCCAGCCTGTAGAAAGTGGTGGTGCCATAACTAATTCCAGTCCAAGGAGGACTGGGGTCAGTGTGAAGTGCCCCAAACATGCAGCAGCAAACCATGTACCTTCCTGACCCAGACACGCACATAACTTTGAAATTCTACTCTATAGCAGGTCAGCTCTTGTTTTTGTTTATGGGAGTTACTGGTGAGAGTTGGTTGGGAGGCCAGGCACCCACCCCTACTTGATCTCCTACAGTCCCTCTAGCCAGCACCTCAGGTAATTGGACTGTCTGGGAATCCCACTTGTCTCCTCTGTAAGCTGGGGAAGAAAATAATTAAGCCACAGGGTGATAAAGGAGACCAGATGAAACAAAGTACAAGGTTATGTAAATAGTTTCCCCTACATCCTCTTTACTCAAAATTACTCAGGAATTTCAGGAAGAGTAGAGGGAAAGTAGAAAATATTAAGCACAGAGATTAAGAGAGAAATCCCACCACCCCACCCTGAATAAAGACTGCTACCCTTAGCGAGACTGTCCCCTCCACTTTCTGTTAAGTGCCTCCCACAAAGGGGTAAACAGGGCACTGAGGAATGGTGGGAGCAGGGGCTGGTGGGAACTAGAGGTGGGAAGCTGCAGGTGGGCCTGAGAGGAGCAGGCCTTGTTGAAGAGTTGGGGCAGGGAACTCTGCCCCTCCCCCCCCAATCTGTCATCGTCATAGCTTGGTCTATCTGGCCCAGCTCAGCCTTGTCAAAACAAAGGTTCATGTTTTCTCCCACTCAGTTGCTTCCCTGCTGGCTGCCAGTGCCTCAACCTTTGACCAAGAGGGCCTGAAGGGCTCCACCACCTGCACATCTCTGATGACACCCTATGGTTTTATGCTGGTAGTCAGCTTCCATGGTGTCTTGTGCTGGGAGGAGGGCACCTGGGAGCCTGAGGAGCAGGGGCCATCTCAGATTTGCCTGCGTGACCCTGTGTGCTGGCTGACCCTGCCATCCAGACAGATTTAGCCCCTTCAAAAGCTCAAACTCCCCAGATCAGCGAGTCACCCCTACTCAAGAGCTGGAGCTTAAGGTTTGTGACCCTCAAGCAGATGGCAACAAACCCAATAACAGCTTCATCAGCAGCTCACTTTATACTTTTCCTTTGGCTTATTTTCTACGTTTTTATTTAAATGTGTCTCTTTGACTTTTGATAAAAACTTTAAAGGTAATTTTATGATAGGAGATAAGTAAGTTAAATATAAAAGAGTAAGTTTCTCACTTCATCTCCCCAAGTCACAGTTTGACTTTTTTTTCTTGGTGTATCCTTTCAGACACATTTCACATGTGGGCTCTCAAAAATATAAGTAGAAACATTTTATACATGTTAGAGGTTTTTTGAGATTGTTCATTATTGATGTATTTAAAGTTGCCCCACTCTTTTAACTGTTTCATAATATTTCATTTGGATGAAATGTGTTTCATTCTTTGCTCTTCTATAAGTACATTTCTCTGTTTAAATATAGAGAATGCTCTATGTATAACATCTTAGGCACTGTATTCTCAATATGAGCACAGGACAACTACAGTGCCGAGGAAAATTTAGTCATATACTGCGGCCAGTTTCTCAATTCGAAATGTCTTCAGCATCCTCCCCTCTGCCATACGTAATTTCTCTTACTGACCTTTTCTCTGAATTCTGCCCTACCTAAAGGGGTTCTTCTGGGCATCAAATAGCAGATCTGAAGACTTCCCACATGTATGTGGGTTCCCATCACTAACACACTATCCTGAGCTTCTTGAGTGTGGGGCTCTTTGGGGCTCATTTCTGGGACTTCAGTAACACCAGGAGTTGTTTGTTGAATGTGTGGACAAGAGTATATGCTAAGTACCCAAACCAACATCTTACAGGAGTTCACCAGACAGAAGAAACATAACTGGGCTTTTGGGAGGTGGTGGTCTTAGCAACATAGGCAAGGTTCTTAGACTGGAAAATCTGAGGTCTCTTAGAGATAATGGGAGAAAGTGAGTGAAGATACAGAGACTGGCATTTCCACAGTATTTCAGGGGTGGACATGGCCCTATGTAAATCTGAACTAGATGCAGAGAGAGCCAGGCACAGCCTCATTATAGAGGACCCTGAATGCCAAGAGTAGTGTGGACTTTATCAGGTGAGTAATGAGGATACCATGAAGGTTTCTGGGCACTCTCCCAGAGAGTGTAGAGGTTTCTACAGAGTTCCTACAGGATCAGGTAGGCTGTATGAAACAATTGGCAGCACAGAGGGCCATCCATGAGTGTGAGAGATGATCATTGTGATAGCTAAGACACAAAGCATGTTTGTATGCCAAACACTGTTTTAGGAATATCAGTTCAGTTAGTCCCCAAGATAGAACTATGAGGTGTGTACTATCCTCACACTGATTTTGCAGAGAGGGATTGGAAGCTCAGAGAGGGTGCGTGTGCATGTGCTGTGTAGCAGATGCTCTGGTGCAGACTGAAGCCTGGAGAGTAGGAGTGCAGAAGCAGCAGCCCCTGGAGGGGCTCCATTCCTCCAGCTGGAAGAGCTTGAGCCACAGTTTGGACCCAGGAAGTCTGGCTCCAGTTTGGGTCAGAGCTGACTGAGAGCCCAAATGAGGCTGGGTTAGAGGGGTGCAAGGGTGCAGATAACTCAAACAAGGCTGAACCAATTGGATAGTGGCTATCATTTTGGCAGAATTAGTGAGTCAAAAACTTCCAAGCAGGCGAGGTTTGCCCCACAGGATCACTCCTAGGTTAGAATGAAAGAAAGTAAGGTAGAGGTCAGATCACACACACACACACACACACACACACACACACACACACACACACACACCCTGTTCTGGGAGCTTAACAGAGTCATAGGCTGGTATCCTTATAGGTTATCAGTGGTCACGCAGGAAAGGTTTGGTCTTGGCACAAGTAATATTACTTCCAAGACAGGATTCTGTCTCTGCCTTCTTAGTTTCCTAGGGCTGTTATAACTGATCATCACAAGCATAGTGGTTTAAGACAACACAAATCTATTATCTCATAACTCTGGGTGTCAAAAATCTGAAATGGGTTTCACTGGGCTAAAAGCAAGAAACATCAGTGCAAATGCACTGATATTGAAATAATATCTGTTCTTTTGCTGTCTTATTGAGTATCACTACTCTCATTTTGGGGGCACAAATAATGACATAGATTGTCCCAGTTTATGTTTATATGTTTAAAAGTTCAAAATATACTCTTAGTAGCATTTACTCATATTACAAAATATCAAGTTTAAAAAATGAATGCAGCAAGGCCATGTTAATCTGGGGGGTCCTATGGGGAATCCACTTCCTTGCTTCAGCTTCTAGAGCATCCAGACCATCTGGACTTCTGCGTTTCACCACCTCTTGCTCCATTCTCACAGGCAGCAGCACAGCAAATTCAATTCTGTATTTCTGACTCTGTCCCTCCAGTTTCTTCTTATAATAACTATTATGATTACATTGGGGCCACTGGATAATGCAGGATGCTTTCCCATCTCAAAAGCACTAATTTAATTTTACTTGTAAAGTCTCATTTGCCATGTAATGTAACATGTTCACAGGTTCCAGGGGCTAGGGTGTAGACATCTTTGGAGTCCATCATTCTGCTTACCACATACATCATCAGGTGCCCAGAATCTTCTAATCCAATGGCTAAACACAGGACCTTTTATGAATTAGTCGTCTGCCCCTAAGAGTAAAGGCCACTGACATTAGGCAAGCTGGGGAGTGCAGGGATATCTAGAATATTCTCTCCAATTTATATGTTGAATACATCTGGTTTTACTAATAAGAACCCATTTGTCCCACATATTACATATTAATGGGCCCCAGTCTCACCAGTGGAAATCCATCTCTGACATTCTATATGCTGCATAGCATGCCCTCTGGTGTAGACTGAGACAGGGAGAGCTGAAGAACTTGTGGTAGCATAGGATGATTAGTCTACCAGCTGACCATGCAGAGTGTGAATTCCCAAGTGGGGCTCTCTCTGGCTCTCCACTGTGACACTTGATATTAAACTGAAGACCTGCAAACAAGGAAGTTGCAAAGGTGGGTATGAGCAGGAAGCAATAAAGAACAGGTGGGTAGAGGCCTGGCACTGTGTGCCAGGTAATGCACGTTATCTCTTCAAATCTTTTCAACTATGCAGCCGAGTAGGCCATGATGACAGACAAGAAACTGGGACAGGGGTGACCTGTCCAAGTCCACATAGCTAGTAGTTAGTAAGGCAAGGACTAGACTCAGCTGTGCCTACTGTTCTGTGCTCCTAAGGAAGTGGCTGACCCCATCACTCCACTTGCTGAGCCTTCTCCAGTACTGAGGTTCCCAGGATCCATAGGAACATGAGCCATCACCCAGGCCAATTCAGGCCTGCCTATTGCAGGACTGTGGGAAGCTCAAACAACCTGTCTGAACACCATTTTCTCATCTTAATGCTGAGAACTATCCCCCATCAGAAACTTGGAGTATCAAATTCAGGCCAACAAACAGAGCTTCTGCTTTTTTATTTTTTCACTTAAAAAATAACTATCACATGTCTATCATGTACCTACAGACATAGGGAATAAAGTTATTGAACAAAAATGGAATAGAAGATAACTTTCCTAAACTAAGAATAAACATGAATTACAGATAAAAAGGTACAAGTTTATCCTTGAAAGAAAAAAACAACTTGATATGGAATAGTTGACATTAAGTCATATCTAGATAAAATTACATAATAATGAAACATTCAATGGTGATAAAATGGGAATCTCATACAAGGAAAAAAATAGGCAAATAGCTTTTGTGTTGCATTTAGGATTCAGGAAATTGATGGAATTTCCTTTACATTTATGGCAAAATGAACACTTCATTTTGGAGCAGACTGAATTTTGTACAGGCTTTAGATACATTTTATAGAATGGCTGAGTCACTTCTACCAACTGACACAATTTAAAAATCACTAATTTTGACAGGAACATTTGTTGTGTTTTTGAGTTATGTGATTATTTGAACAAAATTTTGCAAAAACATCTGATGGTTAAACCTGCCTTCTTCATCTTGCACCTTGATAAAATATCATGTTTAGCCCCAGTAATGAAGCCTACATTTCTGTGAAAACAGTGAATACAGTGGTTTCAGACTGCAGCTGCCACCTCTTAGCAGGCTATAAAATCAACCAAGGGGGTTGCAACCAATATTCATTAGAAAATTAAATTTAAAAAATTAGGATAGAATATATTAGGCACCTTGTAATAAGGTTAAGTCTTGTGTGGTGTGTGTGTGTGTAATTTATATTTCTTTTGAAACTTTTTTCTTAATGTCCACTTTCTCTGGCAAGCTCTGATTAGAAGCCAGTAAAAAAAATGAAACCAAACAAAAAAACAACCTTTGTGCCAAGGTGTAAAACTCACAGAAAGTAGCCCAAATGCCATGTGTACAGGTGGAAGAACAGGCCCTGACCTTGAACAGTAATCACTGCCCTGACTTCTCACAGTGTATCTTAACCACACCTGCTGTTGAACTTTGTATCCAGGGATAAGTTATGCAGTACACTTTTTTATGTGTCTTCATGCATCATGGGGGTGGGAGAGTCATCCTGGCTGCTGAATTGTTTCATCCTCCTTGCTGTGGTCCCTAGGGTGGGGTCCCCAGACCAGCTGCAGCAGCAACTGGAAACTTGTCAGAAATGCAGAGACTTTGGGGGTGGGCTCAGCACTCTGAGTGATTGTGATGTCTGCTGGCCTTGAGAGACTTCTGTGGGGGTAACATTCTTAGCCACCGTTTTGGAGAAACTCATGTTTCAGATCACCTTTTCCAGGAGGAAAGGGATTATGTGCTTTTATTCCATGTGAAAATTAATTGAGGGAATGGTTCTGCAAACCCTTTTAAGGTTCTGAAACTACCTGAACTGGCATCTTCTCCCTTGCCTGTTCTGGCCCTCTGCTCCCTCCTCAATTGTCTCTCTCTTTCTTTCCCTCCTTCCCCACCTGCCCCTAAGGCCCCAGTAACACTCCTATCATTCACTCCCCAGGGTATGTCTTAGCCCACTGTGTTTGACCTCTGGGCACATTGGACATACTGTCCTTTCTTTCGTAAGCCTCTGCCCTTGGCCTGCAGGGCATCTGTGCTCCTGGCTGGGTTCCCAGCTTGTGGTCTTCCTGGAGGTACTACTGCCCCCACCCAAATGCTAGTGTCCTCAGTGCCCATTACTAGGCCCTTTTTTCTTCTCTTGTCACCTCCTGCCTTCCAGTGTCAGTCACCTGTCTTCTTCGAGTTCATATCACCTCTCCCCTCAATAGACATGCTTTCAATGAATGTGTGAATAAATTTACCACAAGCAGCTCTTTATCTTTCTTCACCCCCAAGGTGGTTTGTTCTCCATGGCCATTGGATGAATGAATGGCTTCAATGTCCACCCAGACACCAGGCTGTCACCCTAGCAACCTCCTCCACTTTGCCTGCCTCTACTCTTAGGCTCCAGTCTGAATGTCATAAGGAAGAGAGCTATGAAAGGTTCTGCCAGGACTCTGGCCCTTTTTGATCTTAACAAGGCAGATTATAAGCAAGGAAACAAACAAATCACTGTGTCTGATGGCAAAAAGTTCCAGAAGGAGACAAAGGTGGGAAGAGAGGCTGAGTCAAGAAGGCAATGTCAGTCAGGCCTCTGAGGGGGGCATCTGGACTGAAACTAGAATGAAGGGAGGGGCCCTCCAAGAGAAGGAAGATCAGGGAAGGGGGTTTAGGCAAAGGGAGGATACATGCAAAGGTCCTGAGGTAGGACCAGGAACATCAGGGATGTATGGAGAAGAATGATAGGGTTGTGGGAGTTGGGCTGCTTTCCCTAATTGGATAAGGAGCTGTTAGAAAGTTTGTCCTGTCTCTGGTTTTAGGCTCTATGCTGGGCCTCCCACATCTGGCTGGATACGAGTCTCAGGACTGCAAGTGTAGTCTGAGATTACTTGACAAGCTGTTGGAGAGTGTTTCTCTGCACTTGTACAAAGGGTCTATGAGCTCCTGGCAGGTCTATTCTCACTCCCCTGGATTCTGCATCTCCTACTGTAGCCACAAGCCTCAGGGCAGGACCCACTGTGGTCCTTGCCTAGAGTCAAGCAGCCTGGTCTCCAGTGAGCAAGTCCTCTTGGGAAGGCTTCATGCAGGAGGTGACGTTGTTGATGGGCCCAGGATGAAAATGAGGCAGTCTCTGGGTGGGACCATGGGTTTCTAAATGAAGCAGGGGCAAATCCAAGTAGGGTAAAATGGCCCATTATGGAAGCCACAAGATGTCTGGCTCTGAGCTTCCACCCTTGGTACACCTCACCACGCCCCTTTTGCAGCTGGCACTGAGGAATGCCCTGCGCTACTTCCCCCTGGACGTGCAGGAGCTTCTGGCCCCTGAGTTTGCCCAGGAGCTGAGGCTGTATGGACACATCTATATGTATCGGTTCTGCCCCCACATTGAAATGAGGTGAGTGCTGGCGGACAGGTATGGCTTCAAAGGGGCCCAGAGTGGGAGGAGAGGGATGTAAGAGGGACCATGATGGAGGTCAGGAACTCCAGAGTCAGCAGAGAAGGGGAAAGTAAAGCTGTCAACACTAGGAGGCCCATGGATGTGGCATGCTGAGTTGTTGTCCCTCACACAGAGAGAGGAGGTGGCAGCGTTATCATCTGTGGAAGTCTGCAGCCTAGAGGTGGCTGAAGCCCCCAAGACTGGCCAGAAGATGGAGTGATCCTTATTAAATGGTTCCCTCTGGCTCACTGTCCTGGGGTGTGGGTCCTGTGCAATTCTGAATCCAAACTGTATGCAAAATCCCTTTTTAAACACCACGTTTTTTTTTTTTGTCTTGCCAAAGGGCAAGGAGAGGTTTAAAGGGTACTCTGCCAGTGTTTTCAAATAGCCCAGGCTTCCCATCAAAGCTCACAAGCTGAATTGTGATTGTCACGGAAAGCCTTGTGAAGCTATTAATGGCTGGGCCTCACCCCGCATTGCACAGTCTGCAGTTCTGGAATGGGGTGGAAAGATCTGCCTATCACAGTTCCCAGATGTTGCTGCCCCACCCAGGTAACACACTGTGTACCTTTGTTCTTGAATATGCCAAAAGCCCAGACTTGTCTGGGACCATAACAAGGAATGGCCTGAACCCCATAAAGCAAGAATGGCGTCTTCTCATTCCTTTTGGGGCCTGCTGCTGCCTGGCACTTGCTCTAGATTGGTGCCTAGGAAGGAAACAAACAAATCACAGTGTCTGATGGCAAAAAGTTCCAGAAGGAAACAAAAGCAGGAAGAGAGGCTGAGTCAAGAAGGCAATGTCAGGCAGGCCTCTGAGGGGGGCATCTGGACTGAAACTAGAATGAAGGGAGGGGCCCTCCAAGAGAAGGCAGATTAAGAAAGGGGGGTTAGGCAAAGGGAAAATAAAGAAGGAAAAAATAAATGGCACCCAGAGTAGAGGCTTCTGGAAAGTAGACATCAGCTTTGTTTCACAGTCAACATTCTCTCAGTGGGAGCCTGCTGAGAAGAAAGGAAGGGTGGCCTGGGGTGGAGTGGCAGCTGAACTGCCCATACATAAAAGGGTGGGGGGCACAAAGCATAAGGTGAGCACCAGAGCCAGTTGGCTTTGGTTCCTGCTGGGATCTCCCAGGTGACTTCTGCAGCAATGTTGGGTCTCACTGTTCACACCTGTGTGTCCTCCCATCATCATACCTAATGTCTGTACTCCCCTTGCAGGGCCTACCCAATGAAGCAGTACCCTTGCCGGACAAAAGCCGCAGCAGCCATCATGCACATGATCATGAACAACCTGGATCCTGCCGTGGCCCAGGTAATAGCTAGGGAAACTGAAGCACAAGGGCCGGGACTGTCCAATAGAATTGTAACGTGAGACACCCATATAATGCATGTAAGCTTTTTATTTAGAAGTAATGATAGATTCCCAGTAACTATAGCACAGCACCAACATCAGGACATCAATATTGGTATAGTAGAAACACATGTAATTTTAAGTTTTCCAATAGCCATATGAAAAAGTAAAAAAGAAAAGATTTAATACTGTATTTTGTTTATCCTGATATATCTGAAATATCATCATTGTAACATGTAATCAGTAAAAAAAATATTGAGCTATTTCACAATTTTTTCCACTAAGTCTAAATCTGGAGTGAGTTTTATTTACACTTAGAGCATGTCAGACAAGCCATGACTCAACTGCTCAGTAGCCATGTGTGGGTGACCCAGGTGTGACCACATGTGCCTGTAACAGGCCTCCTTGAGAGCCAGTCTATACATCAGATCCTATATTTGAGACAAGATAGCCTTTGCAAGGTGAATCTCTAAGTATTATAGTTGAGGGTGACATGGTCCTAGAATATGACCGTGCTGTGTAGTGGTGAGAGCTTTCTAGGCGGTGGCCCTGGCCCCAAAACCTGATCACAAATGTACTTATGGCATTGACCCCAGGCTGAGTTTCCAAAGTGACTCTGGACCCAGCTCTATCCCTCACCCCAAGCTAAGCCCTTATCCCAGTCACAGGTGGGCCACACCCTCTGGCTTCTCCCATTGCCTCCACCACCCCTTCATCAGCCACCTTGCCCCACACAGCCCAATGCAGGGGTGGGTGCCCCCCACCCCCCGGCTGCTGTCTCAGATGATACTTTGTCTTCTTCAGTTTCCCCAGGAGCTTGTGACCTACGGCGGAAATGGACAAGTGTTCAGCAACTGGGCTCAGGTACACTAAACTATGAGGCCTGGCTCCATGCCCAGGCCCTACTCATGACCATGTCCTCTGGCCTAGAAGGAGGTTATAAACCCAGGGCTTGGGATTCAGGTCTCTGTCTGCCTGATGCCTGAGATTACAGCACTGGAGACAATTTGAGGATGTGGAAGGTCTTCAGGGCAGGAGTAGCCTAACTTGAGGCACTAGGAACCACTAGAGTATAACAGAGGCCTGGAGGGATGGGCCATGGGGCAGGACTTCTGAGGCCTGGGGAGCTGTTGGAGTCTGGGGGGTGCCTTGGGGCCCACTGTGGGTCCCCCACTTACAGGGCCTTCCATGTTTTGCTCTCCCCTGCAGTTCTGGCTGACAATGTCCTACTTGTCGCAGATGACAGAGGAGCAGACGCTGGTCATGTACAGTGGACACCCTCTGGGCCTCTTCCCAAGCAGCCCTGAAGCCCCAAGGCTGGTCATTACTAATGGGATGGTGGGTCCTGAGGCAGCTGGGCATAGTGATGTCTCAGGGACAGTGGGGAAAACCAGTTGCCCCTGACACCTGCTTACCTATTGTTTCCAAGGGCACTATGCTGCCCTTAGCCCTTGGGTGCTGTCCATCTTTTCCAGGTCATTCCCAATTACTCTTCTAGAACCGAGTATGAGAAGCTCTTTGCCATGGGGGTTACAATGTAAGTCTGTATTTCAGTTTACATTATATCTTTCCAGTAAATATCATATATTTATTATAAAACAATGTAGCAATATTAAATAAAATTTTGAAAAATATAATCATTGTGCTGTACCAATTCCATATTTACATATTCCCGAGCAGTTTTTATGAATATGCCTGCGATTTTTATATACTTATAAGCAAATGGACATACAATTTGAATCCTGCTTTTATCTAACATTTTATTATGAACAGTTTCAAACATACAGGAAATTGAAAGAATTAACAGTAAACATAAAAAATTCTGTGATTAATGTACTATTGAACTCACTTTATCTGTGTCTTTCTGTCTGTCCCTCTATCTATCCATCTGTCCAATTGGGTTTTGATGCATTTCAAAGTAAGCTATAAATATTATGGTCTGGAATTCAATATTTGTTTATAGGTTTTTCTTTTGAAGTGAAATTTACACATAATGAAACGCACAGATCTTACATGTACCATTCAGTGAGTTCTAACAAATGCCTGCATATAAGCAACTCAAACCTCGTAAAGATGCAAAGTACTGTCGTTTCATTTGTTATAAAATTAATGCATGATCTGGGCTGAAAACTTCCCTCAAACATTATAAAAGTAGCTACAGTGTAAAGGAAATCCCTCTCCCACACTAGATCTCCAATTTACAGTTTCCTTTGCATCCTTTCAACCAAATTTCTTATGTGAATGGCTAAAACAAATATAGGTAATTAAATCATTATGATGCCTCTGTACTTGCCTCCCTCCTTTGACAATATAGCTTGGACATTATTCCATCTCAGGAAACGTGGGTCTAACTTGTTCCCATTTTACCTGCAGTGTTCAATTGTACCATGATTCATTTAGCTCACTTGCCTCCTGATTTGGGTTGTTTGCAGTTTTACAGTGAATGTCCTGATCTGTACATCTTTGTGGATCTCTGGGAGTGATAATAACCATGTAAAATATAATCACATCATAGTATTGGGAGCCAATAAATCAGGCCTCAGACTAGTGCTTTATAATATAATAGTCACCACGGTTTGTCATTCTAAGATTTACAGTTTTAATCCTCTGCATAATCCTCTGAAATAGGTACTCTTACTACTCCACTTTGTGGAGGAAGAAACTGAGAATTAGAAACCAAATTACTTTTTTTGTTAGTCATTAGTAGTCATGGTTGCTCTTATTATTACTATGAGCCTTGAAGACCTCTGCTGTACCAGTGGAAGCACCCAAGGGTCAGAGGGATGGGGTCTACTCCTGGTTCCTCTGCCTCTTGCGACCTCCAGCAAGTCACTAAGCTTCTGTTTTATAGATACAGGATGGAAGTTTAAAGAGGGTGAAGCTGCAGAATCAGGCAGACCTGGTCTGGCTGCCCCTGAAGGTTGACCCCAGATGCTGTAGGTGGTTAACTAAAGAAAAAATGCAGATCACATTTAAAAAAAAAACTGAGAACTACTAACTAAAGGAAAGCCCTTTTCACTGTTGGGCTGACAAAAATAAAACTACAGATAATACCCAGTGCTGGGGAGGACGTGAAAAAAACAGGCAATCACAGATTGTCAGTGGGGTCTAGGTCAGTACAGGAAGCTAGAGGTAGTTGGGTGGGCTATATCTAGTGACTGGGATAAAGAAACTTTTACCCCACACTTTTACTTACAAGAGTTATCTTGGGAGTAACATGCAGCAGATCACTTAAACACAAAGGATTCAGCCAGCTCTGCTATGTATCATAGTATAACCTTGGAAACTTGGATTGTACCTGTAAAGAGGAAATATTAATGAGTGTGAGAGTTAATTAAATGATAAAGGTGACACCTTTAGCATGTGGCACAAAGGGAACCGTTGGGCACTTTGCTTGAATGCATGCAGGCCCACCAGGGAACACACCCATTCTGGGGGTTGAGGTAGTTTCTAATGGTTTCACCTGTTTCCCTGGATGGGTATTTATCATATCAGCACTATTCTGTTATGTTTTACAATATTCATATGACCTTTCAAGGTAAGGGTACTGCGTCCCCATGTTTTGAAAGAGGAAACACAGGTTCTTAGTGGTCCAGTGCCTTGCCTAAATTATGGGATACGATTGATATTTAGATACAGATCTGTGAGAATCAGGATCCGCTTCTGATCCAGAAGACAGAAGGGTAAATTCCTGGGCAACAGGAATCCAATAGAAAAGAGATATGAACTTACAATTTGTAAGGGAGGAAAGTAAGTGGTAGTCTCCGTTGAGACTGTCCTTACCTCAAGAGGAGTACAATTAAGGCAACAACAAAATGTTGTCATTCCCCCATTACATTGCCAGCAATTAAAATATTTGAAAATTATCAAGGAATGCAAACAGGCATGATCATGCATTGCTGGGGACAGTCACTTAGGAGTCGAACAGTATTCGTTAATATTTTAAACGTGTGCACCTGATGACCCAGCACTCCTGCTTCCTGGTTTCTACCCTGGGATGCAGATCAGAGATGGCTCACTGCAACATTATTTCTGTAGCAAATTTTGAGCCATCCTGATGATCTATAGGGGAGAGAACATTCTGTGGCTTCTGATACTACATACTTGGAGCCACCAAAGGAGTGAGCAGGATGTGTGAGTGTTGATGTGTAAAGAATCTCACAAGCCTTGCGTTTAGGGAAAATACAAGCTGTAGAAACAACGCCTACCAAATGAGGCCATTTATGTAACTAACACTGATAATAATAACTCCTCGTGCAAAACAGCGCTCTAAATGGGTTTGCTGAAGTCTAACTTACACACAGTACAGTGTGCAAGTCTGGAGTGTGCATAGTTATGTCAGCACCTCTTGCTGGAGACCAAACCCCACCCTGCCTCCCACAGCTCCCAGCCCTCCTTGCAGCAGGTAAAGTCCCAAGATGAAGGTCACTAAATGAATGGAATCCTGCAGAATGTACTCTTTCATGGCAGGCTTCAAGGCTAGGCCCATCACACACAGGAGGAGTATATTCTTTCTTTTTTCTGTGTAGAGTTCCATTGTGTTCATATACTGCAATTCATTCCTCCTGGTGATGGGCATTTCAGGGTTTGGCCACTGCAAATCAAATTGCTATGAACAGGGGTGTGCATGTCTTTACATGGGCATAGGCATGGAAAGTGGAAGTGCTGGGTCACATTAAACTTTTGTCAATGTGGCTAAATATTCTCCAGTGTGATTTTACCAATAATACTACAGTTTTGAATGAACGGCAACCAACACATGTGGCAGAACCACCCGGCAAAAACCCACAGCAGGGGACGCAAGAAAAAAAAGAGAATGAAATCTATTATAAGAGATCTCAGAGGCCAGAGGGTACCAAAAATGGGGGACTGTAAACTTTTCTAAAATATTTTCTTTTGTTTTTTAAGAAGAATATATTAATGAATTTGGAAGTAATTAAAAATAAATTTTAAACCATCAAAAGTTGGGGGCTGGCACGGGGCTCATCCTTTGCTTGCTTTCTCTTTGGTCAGGTATGGCCAGATGACGGCAGGCAGTTATTGCTATATTGGTCCTCAGGGAATCATCCATGGCACAGTGGTAAGAGGCAGAGGTCATGCCTGGCCTCAGGGGATGGGAGGTGGACATGCCTAAAGTAGACAGTGAGCTTTCAACTCCTCTCTCTGCAGCTCACCTTGTTAAATGCTGGTCGTCGGTACCTGGGTGTCAATGACCTGGCTGGGAAAGTCTTTGTCACCTCTGGACTGGGCGGAATGAGTGGGGCTCAGGCCAAAGCCTCAGTCATCGTGGGATGCATTGGTGTTATAGCAGAGGTGAGCACACGAGGAACACTGGGTCCTCATTCCTCCCCACCTCCCTCTTTCCTCATTCAAGAGCTGCTCACACATAACACTCTCATCTCTGGCCCCTTCCTTGTCCCCTCCACAAAGCCTTCCAGTGTAGGTTCCCAGGGCAGTATACCCCTCCTGCCTTCAAAGTGCTCATCATTTTCCATGGTCAGTGGCTGTAGATGCTATCCCATGAAACTGACTTTCTATGGGTTAAGCTTCCATTACCACACTGAAAATGTGGAATATAGCTAGGAGATAATAAATAGTTATGAATAAATGAACGTAGATACCCCTAACTCAGACAGTTCACAGTAAGGAGTAGGAAGCAGATGCGCTGCCCATCACTAGAGGGGAGTGCAGCAGCTTGTTCTCAGTGGCCATCACAGCTTTCTTTGGTAGTGCCAAGGACAGGCAAGGAAACAGGAAGAGAAGGTGAGTGACTCTAAGAAAAGCCTTGGTGATACAAACCAGTGTGATTTACACTTAGTTGATACTGAACCTGTAACATACATAGCTGTGCTTGTTAGGAGCCCATTTGACTGCAGATAACAGGAGACTGAGATATGGCAGTTCACATAAATAGGATTTTATTTTTCTCATATAACCAACAGTGTTGGCATTGGTTCAGCAGCTCAGAGCCAATATCTCTAGATTCTTTTGGGCTTCCCTTATGGGTACAAAATGGCTGCCACAGCCCTAGCCAACCCATCTATATATAGTCAGGGAAGGAAGAAAAGAGAAAGGGCAGTGCCAACTATGCCTGACTCTATATAAGCAAAATAATGATGATAGTAATAATAATAATACCTCAAAATTCTGGTCAGTATTGGATCAAATGGATATTCTTATTTACAAGGGAGCTGGAGACAGTGGAAAGGATATTTGTTATTTTGGACATGGCTCATCTCCTGGGTCTGAGCACAATGTTACTCTAAACACAACCTAACTTCTGTTGATTTAAAAAAAGAAAGAGGAAGAATGAATATTGGAAGGCATCTGCCCTGACAAAAGTGATCTTGTCCATCAAGTTTGTGCATATTTAAGGCACTGGACTTGATACTATAGTTTATTTCTCTCCTTTCATACAATAGTCTTAATCTCTTTACACCCTTGTTAATGCTGGTTCATTTGCTGTTGGTAGTGGGATTGTGGAGGGGTAGTTATTTTTATGGATGTGGGTTTGTTTCCTGGGCTTTGTGGTTTTGTTCTGGCTGCACCTGCAAAACAGCATATAAGATGTAATGGACAGAGTGACCCTCAGTCAACCAGGTGGAGGGAAGGACCCACCAAAGAAGGGCAATCAAAACTCAGTGATATCCAGAGGGTTAACATAAAACATCATAAAGGGCATCCCAAGAGCATCAAGTCCAGGAGATCAAGGAGATTGCACCATTGAATCTCACAGGCCTCCTACCATAGAAGTTCACGCTACAAACTCAGGGAGTCAAAGTGGATCAATTTAAGAGGCAGAAGCAATTAATAATAGTCTCATAAATAATGGGAAGAAATAGAAACAGCCCTCAATTGAAATGAAAGGAGGAATCCTCAGAAAGAGTGCTAAATTAAATAGAGGCAAGTCAGCTATCAGATATTGAGTTCAAAACAATGGATGTAAGAAAGCTCTATGAGTTCAGTGGGAATTACCAAAAATTACAGGGAAACTATGAGGAACTTACTGCAAACTATATAAGCATAAAAAAGGACATAGAAACTTTCAACAAGAGCAAAGAGGAAATGAAATACATAACCTCTGAATTGAAGAACACAGTGCAGGGAATCAAAATCAGGCTAAATGAAGTAAAAGATCGAATCAGCAAGCTGGAGGACAAGGTAGAAAAAATAAAGATCAAGAAAAGGAAAACAGACTAAAAAAAAAGAGGGGTTACTGGAACTTCAGAACAAAATAAAGTGGAATAATATCCATATAATACAGATAGCAGAAGGAGAAGAGGAGTAAGTGATAGAAAACCTATTTGAAAAAGTAATGATGGAAAACTTCTCTAATGTGATGAGAGAAAAAGACACACAAATCCAGCAAGCACAGAGCATCCAAATCAAGAGGAACACAAAGAGGCCCACTGCAAGACACATCATAATTAAAATGGCAAAATTCAAAGACAAAGAGAGAATCTTAAAGGCAGCGAGGGAGAAACACACAAAACAGCTTCCAGCTGACTTCTCAACAGAAGCACTACAAGCCAAAAGGAAATGGCAAGAAGTATTCCAACTAATAAAAATCAAAGACCTACAACCAGGACTACTCTACTCAGCAAGGCTCTCAATTAAAATGGAAGGCAAAATAAGGAGATTCCCAGATGAAAGAAGGCTAAAAGAATACACCTCCACCAAACCAGCACTGCAAGATATGCAAAAGGGACTACTTTAAGAAGAAAAAGAAAAACAGTGAGAGAGAGAGAGAGGAAGACAGGTACAAAAGGGGTAAAGTGGAAACGAATGGGTACCTATCAATAATAACCGTAAATGTAAATGGATTAAATGGTCTAATCAAAATATATAGGGTAGCCAAATGGATAAGAAAATATGACCAGCACATATGCTGCCTACAAGTGACCCACCTCAGAACAAAAGGCCTACACAGGCTGAAATTGAAGGGTTGGGAAAAATGCTCCAGGCAAATGAATGAAAAAAAAACTGGGGTAGCAATACTTATATCTGACAAAATAGACTTCAAAACAAAGGCCATAAAAAGAGACCCAGAAGGACACTTCATAATACTCAAGGCAAGAATCCATGAAGAATATATAAACATTATAAACATATATGCACCCAACACAGGAGCACCCAAATATTTAAGGAAAATCTCAGAGAACTTCAAGCAAGATATAGACAGCAGCATGCTAATAATAGGGGATTTTAACACCCTACTATCAAAAATGGATAGATCTTCCAAACAAAGTAACAACAAGGATAGTGCATCATTGAACAATGCCCCAGATCAAATGAACTCAACTGATACATATAGAACCTTTCATCCTAAAGAAGCAAAATACACATTCTTTTCAATGTATATGGATATTTTCAAAGACAGACCACATTATAATACACAAAACAAGCCTCAGCAAATTCAAGAAAATTTTCATCATACCAAGCATTTTCTCCAACGACAAAGGACTGAAACTAGGAACCAAACTCAAGGGAAAAGCTCAAAAACACTCAAATTCATGGAGATTGAATAGCATTGTATTAAACAATGAATTGGTCAAAAATGAGGTAAAGGAAGAAATCAAAACCTTTCTGGAAACAAATGAAAATGAACTCACAACAACCCAAAACAATGGGACACAGAGAAGGCAGTCCTGTTAGGGAAATTCATAGCCATACAGGTCTACCTAAAAATAAAAAAAGAAGAAAAAATTTCAAATAAACAACCTAACCCTACAAGAACTCAAAGAACAACAACAAAGGCAGCCCAGAGCAAATAGAAGGAAGAAATAACCAAGATTAGAGCTGAATTAAAGGACATAGAGACTAAAAGAAAAACTCAAAGGATCAGTAAATCCAGGAGCTCATTCTTTTTTAAAATTTTTATTTACTTATTTTTCAAGTACAGTTTTCTGTCCATTTCTCCCATCCCAGCCCACCCCACCCTGTGCTCCCCACCTCCCTCCCATCTCCACCCCCCTTAGTTCTTGTCCTTGTGTCCTTCATACTTGTTCCTCCAAATCCCTCCCCCTTTCTTTTGAAAAGATAAACAAAATCAACAATACTTTAAGTGGACTCATCAAGAAAAAAAGAGACAGAACCCAAAAAACAAAATCAGAAATAAAACAGAAGAGATTACAACTGATACCACAGAAATAAGATTGTAAGAAGTTACTATGAAGAACTGTATGCCAAGATTTTTGAAAACCTGGGTGAAATGGACAAATTTCTACAAAAATAGAATTTCCCAAAACTGAATGGAGAAGAAGCAGAAAGCCTGAACAGACCAATTACAGATGGTGAAAACAAAGCAGTAATCAAAAATCTCCCAGCACACAAAAGCCCTGTACTGGAAGATTTCACAAGAGAATTTTATAAAACATTTAAGAAAGCACTAACCCTGTCCTTCATAGACTGCTCCAAAAAATCCAAGAAGATGGAAGACTCCTAAACTCTTTTTATGAAGCCAGCATCATCATAATTTCAAAACCGGATAAATACACAACAAAGAAAGAAAACTGCAGGCCAATATCGCTGATGAACATAGACACTAAAATCCTCAAAAAAAATTGGTGAACTGCATCCAGCAGTACACTAAACACATCATACACTATGATTAAGTGGAATTCATCCCAGGGATGCAAGGATGGCACAATATTTGCAAATCAATAAACGTAATGTATCACATAAACAAAAGGAAAGACAAAAATCACATGATCATATCGATAGATGCAGAAAAAGCATTTGATAAGGTACAGCACCCATTTGTGATAAAAACACTCAGCAAAGTGGAAATAGAGGGAGCATTTCTCAACATAATGAAGGTCATATATAAGAAATGGAGAGCCAACATCATTTGTACTCAATGGGCAAAAACTAAAAGCTTTCCCACTAAGATTAGGAACAAGACAAGAATGTCCACTTTCACCATTTCTATTCAACATAGTATTGGAAGTCACCAGCAACAGTGATCAGACCAGAAAAAGAAATAAAAGGCATCCAAATTGGAAAGGAGGAAGTAAAACTGTCATTGTCTGCAGATGACATGATTCTGTACATAGAAAACACTATAAACTCTACCAAAAAACTACATGACCTAATAAGTGAATTTGGCAATACAGCAGGACACAAATCAATATGCAGAAATTCAAGGCATTTTTATACACCAACAAGAAAATATCAGAATCTGAAATTAGGGGAAAAACTTATTTGATATAACAACAAGAAAAATAAAGGACCTAGGGATAAACTTAACCAAGTAGGTGAAAAGACCTGTACTCAGAAAACTAAATAACACTGAAGAAAGAAATTAAGGAAGACACAAACAAATACAAGCATATAGCATGTTCATGGATTGAAAGAATTTACATTATCAAAATGTCTGTACTACCCAAAGCAATTTATAGATTCAAGGCAATTTCTATTAAAATACCAATGACATATTTCACAGATATGGAACAAACATTTCAAAAATGGCATAAGAACACACACATAGAACAATGGAACAGAATAGAAAGCCCCAAAATAAATGCAAGTCTCTATGGTCAATTAATATTCAAGAAAGGGGACAGAAGCATAAAATGGAGTAAAAATAGCCTCCTCAACAAGTGTTTTGGGAAATCTAGACAATTACATGCAAATAAATGAAACTCAACCACCAACTAACACCATACACAAAAATAAACTCAAGATGGATAAAACACTTAAATATAAGTTGTGATACCATAAAAGTCCTAGAGGAGAGCATAGGCAGGAAAATCTCAAATATTCCACACAGCAGTATGTTCACTGATATGTCCCCTAGAGCAAGGAACATAAAGGAAATAAGAAACAAATGAAATTTCATCAAAATAAGAAGCTTCTGCACAGCTAAAAATATCAGCAAAATGAAAAGGGAACCAATTGTATGGGAAAATATATTTGCCAATGTACCTCAGACAAGTGTTTCATCTCCAAAATATATAAAGAACTCACAGGAATCCAAGAAGACAAACAACCCAATTAAAAAATGAGTAAAGGACCTGGAGAGACACTTCTCTAGGGAGGATGTACAGAGGGCCCGGAGACATATGAAAGGATGCTCAGCATCACTAGCCATCAAAGAGATGCAAATTAAAACCACAGTGCAATACAACTTCACACCAGTGATAATGGCCATCATAAATAATTCAACAAACAAAAAGTACTGGTGAGGTTGTGGGGGAAAGGGAACCCTAGAACACTATTGATGGGAATGCAGACTGGTGTAGCCACTGTGGAAAATAGTATGGAATTTCTTCAGAAAACTAAAAATGAAATTGCCTTTTGACATGGCAATTCTACTGCTGGGATTATACCCTAAGAATCCTCAAACACCAGTTCAAAAGAACCTGTGCACCCCAATGTTCATAGCAGACAATTTACAATAGCCAAGTGCTAGAAGTAGCTTAGGCGCTCCTACCCTTCACAACAGCATGAATGGAACTGAAGAGCATAATATAAGTGAAATAAGCCAGGTGGTGAAAGACAAATACCATATGATCTCACCATAAGAGGAAACTAATCAACAAAACAAGCAAGCAAAATATAACCAGAAACAATGAAAATACATAACAAAGTGATGGTAACCAGAGGGGAGTTGGGAAGGAATAAGGGGGAAAAATAGAAGGGTCATCAAGGAACATGTATAAAGGACAAACGGACAAAGCCAAAGAGGGGTAAGGACTGAGGGTGTGAGGTAAGGTTGGGCGAGGCAGAGGGGAATCGTGGGGGGGGGGATTAAAATGCTATGGTTAATGTCACTAAAAAAAAAGAAAAAGAAAAAGAAAAAGAAAGCCCTGGCTGGTGTAGCTCAGTGGATTGAGCGTGGGCCTGCGAACCACACAATCGCAGTTCGATTCCCAGTCAGGGCACATGCCTGGGTTGCAAGCCGGTTCCCTGCAGGCCAGTTCCCAGGAGGGGATACACGAAAGACAACCATACATTGATGTTTCTCTCCTTCTTTCCTTCCCCCCTTCCCCTCTAAAGATAAATAAATAAAATCTTTAAAAAAAAAGAAAAGAAAAGTGGGTGATTTATATCAGAGTATGGTACCTACCTAGTGGAGACAAACCCTGGGATGATTTGTGACTGGGACCCTGGGATGATTTGTGACTGGGTGGCTTATGTTTCTTGGTCACAGGTGGATAAAGCAGCCCTGATGAAACGCCACCAGCAAGGTTGGCTGATGGAAATGACCAACAACTTGGACCACTGCATTGAAAGACTCAGGTACAACATCTAACAAGTGAGCATTGAAAGTGGGGAGACCATGGGAGGGGACCCAAAGTCTGGGTTGCTCAGAATAGGCCTGCCAATACCTGGCGCCTGGCCACAGATGGCCACCACACCTCATTAACACTCATAGACAGTATAGCAGGAAGGATCTAGTAATATCTATTACTTGCTGTTGTATAAGAAACCCCTGGGTTTGCATACTTTGGTGGTCAGACACTTTGTTCTAATAGATTTTCAATTATCCTCTTATTTTCCCCCCAACACTGAGCCATAGTTTTTTTTCTAAAAATATTTTATTTATTTTTAGAGAGGGGAAGGGAAGGAGAAAGAGAGGGAGAGAAACATTGGTGTGAGAGATAAACACTGATTGGTTGCTTTTCAAACATACCCCAACTAGGGACAGAACCCACAATCCAGGCATGTGCCCAGACTGAAGATTGAACCAGTGACCTTTTGCTTTGTGGGACGATGCCCAATCAACTGAGCCACACCAGTCAGGGCTATTCAGCCATATTTTTGCAAATAATATGTCTGTGTTTCTCACTATTGTGACCTCAGTGCTCATTCCAGAGCCTTGCACATAGTAGATGCTCACTGAATCTATTGGGGAAACATGAACCTTTGAATGATGGAGCTTTCCCTCAGAGTGACTCTATCAGGTTCAATATAAGTTCATCTTCCTCTTCATTGTAATTGCCTGTGTGGTATCAGGGGTAGCTTTTCCCCTTCTGCTTGATGTCTTCTGAGGTGCTTTATTTGGAATGGGGTTGGGGGAACAGACTGCCATAGGGCTTTTGCTCAAATGCCATTTTGGAAGCATCCTCTCAACTGATTTGCTTTGCAGTACTGAGCCTGTGTGGGGAGGGTGCATCACCACCATGACTCTCCATCCCAACTACAATATTCTAGTCAATGGGGGCTTGTATGAAAATATTTAAGTACACACAGATTTTGAGAAACATTCCTGTTCTGAAGATGGGATATTATTTGACATAGATCTTTCTAAAATACTACATTGCACCCCTGTGTAAAACTCTCAGATAACTAACTCTCCATTAATTATAGGAAAAATTCCAAACTCTAATGTGCCACTAAAGGCTTTTGTCTGATTCGACTGCTGTTCCTGTTAATGCTGGCTAGCGTCCTGAACATACGCACTTGTACACTCTGACACACACACATACCCATTTACACATACTTGCAACATACATACTCAGACACTCACACTCACATACTTCTAACCACTCTGATATTCTTGCCATATCTAAATATACCTCTTCCATTTGCCTTCTTTTTTCACTTACACAAAGTTTGGGCCAGCTTAATTCCTTAACTCTACTGCCATTCACACATACACTCAATCATTTCACATCAGTTTAACAAACTGCCTTAAGCAGCCTGTCTCACCACATTTCTGCTCCCTGAGCTGCAGAAGACACAGATGGGAATGGAGTTATTCTTGGGGGACTCAAGGTACCTGTTCTTGCCCTTAGGCTGTATGTAATACAGTCCTCCTCCCCAGCATCCCTCACTGTTCTGCAACCAAATGTCCTTTTCTTGTTTTGTTATCCTGATGTGCCTGGGAGAGGAGCATGTCTGGCCCCTGCTGGCATCTCTCTGCTAAGCAAGGACTTCAGTTGATCTGCATCTTTGAGCAGGTGCCACACTGCCCCACTTATTGATGCTTTTTGATATCTTTCATATCTGTGAGAGGCTTTATATATTCAAGTTTTCTGTTCTCCAAAATATTTTCTTTTTTTGTACTTTTATTTTTCCAATGTGGAATCAACTTTAGTCACTTTTGTGATTTGAGGATCACCTTGAGTAAGTTCTAGGATGGTCCTTATTAGAGTTCTAATAGCAATAGCACTAATTCTAAGTATTGCCTCAGGAAGCGTTGTCACCATTGTCACCTCAGTTCTCCTATCTAGGGTATTCAAGTCTGCCATTTCCCTTATGGGCTGGGTCCTCAAAGGACACACCTCATAGGTCACTGAATCTCAGGCCCTATACTTGCACATGATACTTTTGGTGGCCTCTTGGGTCTTCCACATTCTAGCCATCTGTGTGTCCCCTGGGTGTTGGCCAGTGTGAACAGCTGTGGACAGGTGTGATGGAGCCATTTGTTCTGTTTTTTTGTCCTCTAGGAAAGCAAAGGAAAAAAAGGAGATTCTCAGTCTTGGTTACCATGGCAATGTGGTGGATCTTTGGTAAGTACAGGGATGGGAGTCAGCAGACTTGGGGACCCCAGATGAACCTTTTCCCCTAGGCAAATTCCCAGTGGTGACCAAGTGCTCCTGGAATGCAGTTTCAAGTGTTGACCTGAGGCTCTGCTTCCAGGTTTTGAGACCTATATCTTGGCTTGAGTTCATAGCAGCCTTCCCATAGGTGTTCTTTGAGGGGAGAGGGGTATGGGGAGGGATGTGTTATTAGCCTCAGTCTCTGGCTCCTGGACACATGGGCTGGAAAATGTGTTACAATCCCCTCCAAGCTAGGCCCTAAACTCAGGCCCCAGATGCTTCCTGCCTCTGCCCTGGGCAGCTGCTGCTCTGCACTGACTAGACCACATCTTCTCCAGGGAACGCCTGGTCCATGAATTGGACACGACAGGAGAGCTCTTGGTGGACCTGGGGTCAGACCAGACATCCTGCCACAACCCATTTAATGGTGGCTATTATCCTGTGCAACTTGGCTTTGCAGAGGCCCAGAGCCTCATGGCTTCCAATCCTGCCACATTCAAGGGCCTGGTCCAAGAAAGGTGATGCAGGTCCCAGGGCTGCTTGGGGTATGAGGCAGGGCACAGGGTGGGAGGGCTATACACTAGAAGGATCTTTGGACTGAGTAGCTGTGGCCTCTGCCTGATTCTCCAGTGACCAGCTGTGTGGCATTGGCTAGGACCCTTAGCCTATGTCTCCAAGCTTTTGTCTACTCTGTCAGATTGAATGGAAGTCAGCAGAGATGGCTGACCTCCATGGGGTGAGGCGGGGGATGACAGTGATGGGGCAGAGAGGGCCCATTTCAGAGTCTTACCAGTGGCTGGAACTGAAAACTGATTGCTGGCCCATTGCAGCCTGAGGAGGCAAGTCTCAGCCATCAACCGACTGGCCAAGGAGAACTTTTTCTTTTGGGACTATGGCAATGCTTTCCTCTTGGAAGCCCAGAGAGCAGGTGAGAGAAGGGTGGCTTGCTGAGGGGCCCATCCTTCCTGGGTTGGCAGCAGGCATACTCCCCCCAGCCAGGGCTATCCTGGCAGGGACCTGGGGCAGGCAGGGACCAGGGCATGTAGGTTTAATTGTGCCTCTGCCTCACCTTCTGGAAGCTAGTCCTGCCAGCTTACCTCTCTGGCCTCAGTTTCTCCATTTGCCTTAAAAATATGAAGCACCATAAAGAGAGTGGGCACAATACTTATGTACAAGCTCCATTGCAAAAAATGCAGCTTTACTTTTTTTGTGGAGGAAACTTTTTTCTGTAAAATAGGTGATTCATTCATAGATTGTAAAGTTCAGAAGGTATAAAAGATATTCAGTGGAAAGTCTCCCTCCTAGCCCCATCTCTGGCACCAACTCTCCCCCTGCCTCAGAGTCTGCAGGCTCTGAGGTGCCTGCCTGGATATGCCTGCAGCAGACACAGGCATGTGTACATGCTGCCCTGCCCCATACCAAGAGTTTATGGGCTCCAGCCTACCCTTGCTTTCTCTTCCTTTACCTGAAAAGACACCTGTTGATGATTCACTATCTGGACAGAGCACTTGCACAGTCTTTTTCTGGGCTGTGTTTAAATTGTCATCTGGATGGTGCTGTATGTCCTCACCTTGGGTGGAACCTGCCAGCTTGCAGCCTCTTCAGGTGACACTGTCTAGATGCTCTGCCCACAGGAGCTGATGTGGAAAAGAAAGGTGCTGAAAGGACAGAGTTCCGCTATCCCTCGTACGTCCAACACATTATGGGGTAAGTGATGAGCCCCTTTCCAGCATCTGGGTCCTGGAAATTCTGGTCAGAAAAGCCCTTCCTCTGACCACTGCTGAAGGCCACAGAGTGCGGACCATACCAGGTCATGGGATTCTACAACAAAATGCTGGTGAAGAGAAACTGAAATCATGAGAGACCTTGTACAGGGCTTTAATGACAGGGCAAGGAGGCTTCAGGGGCCTAGAGCTGAGGTTACTTTCTGGGGAACTCCTCAGTCTTCAATACTCATAACCCTAAATGCTGTCCATCCCATAGCCATTGCTGTGAGCCCAAGGGGGTAGCTGATGGTTTGATCCATGGAGGCCAAGACCTGCTTTTCCCTGCAGCCCCTGTACCTACCCGGCTGTGCCGGGCAGGTCTGGGGAGGCCAGTGGCCCAGGACAAGTAGGGAGGAGTGAAATGTACCCAGAGGGAGACTGGCTGAGGGTAGAGGCTTGAAGACTAAGGCCAGGAGTTTGAGCTCAAGCAATATAAGGCAGGGGAGGGACGGTCTCAGGATGTTTTTAGTGAAGTTCTTTCCCCTAGTGTGGCAAGATAGGACCAGAGAGGGAAGGAGGCAAAAAGGCAAACATCTTCTTTTCAGGTTCACTGTGGGTGGGGGCAGAGCCAGAGTGGGCTGGGCCACTGGCCCCTCTGAGGAGAGAAGCAGGAGGGTAGAGGGCTGGTTTAGCGTGGGAGCCCCGGGAAGGAATAGGCTGCTGCCTCTTTGTGCATGGAGTTCACATAGGAAGGTCACTGTACCTCAGGCAAATTTGGCCAAGTTCCCACATTTACTATTTCTCCCAACTATTTAGTTTTGATTGTTGGGTTGTCAGTAACAACAGCTTAAGACATTTCTCTTGTCTGTGTCCCAGCTCCCTGCCCCTGCAGCTCTGAGAGGGGAGGAAGAGAGGGAACAAATGAGGACTGAGGGGTAAGGAGGGGTTGGAGGAAAGAGAAGTAGGAGGATGAAGGAAAAGGAAGGGGGAAATCATGGGTAAGGGGGAAGGAGAGGGAAGATACTGAGAACCAAAGGGGATTCTGGTGGAGAAGGAAGGAAGGCACTGAAGGGAGGAGGTAGAAGGGGAAGAAGGGGAAGGAGGAGGGAGAAGACCTAGTAACTTAAGGGGAGAGAAAAAGAGCAGGTGGTGGTTGCTGAGAGGATGGAAGGGGACTAGAGGAGGCAGGTCCTCTCACTGAAACTTCCTGTCCAATTAGTGACTCAGAGGCTTCCAACAACAATTCTGGACATTGAAGCCACCTCCCCCAATTTATTATACATTCCCACACATAAATCCCCCCAAAACACACCCCAAGTCACACACAGCCTTCACACCCTTCTCAGTTCTGGAACATATGCTGGATTCCCCTCCTTGGATCATGGTCCAGCCAGTGGGTGCAGCCAGCTTGAAAAGGTGACTAGGCACTTTTTTCTGGTAGGGATATATTTTCCCAGGGATTCGGGCCTTTCCGCTGGGTATGCACATCTGGGGACCCTCAGGACCTGGCAATCACCGATCAGCTGGCCACATCTGTGCTGGAGGAGGCCATTTGTGGTGGAGGTAAGGCTGTCAGGTTGGAGACACTCAAGAGTCAGTGGCCCCAAAAATGTCCAATAATAAGCCTGTCTTCCTGGTAGTACAGGGCAGCCCTTCCCCCACCCATTCTCTTCATTTCCTGCCTGGCCTTTGTGAGTAAATGGGTATCCCGCCTTCAGTTTGTGCCTGTCAACAGTGCTTCTGATTCTTTGTAGCTGCCTTCTGTGCCCCTTCAGAGCCTTTGGCTTCCCATATCTACCAAGCCCACTCTGCATATTTCATGTCAGAGCCTCTCCAGTTAATCCATGGTTTTTCTGATATAGAGCCTTGGTTCTGACTTTTCACGTGGATGAGGGAGGCTGTTTAACCATAGTCCCTTCTTGTGTAGCAAATTTAATGTGTCATTTATGATCCGAAGAAGAGAATAAAAGGCAGTTATTTTATGAAACTTACTTAGCTGTCAGAGTTCGTACCCTCAATTCTCTACAGCTTTTCTACAGGTACAGAGATGGCCTTCTCTCCGGATGGTTTCCTGTGTGAGTGGTTCAGTCTTTGCTGCTTGTTTTAAATCCCCAGGGGCCATTTTCACCCTGCTTCCATATTCGAGTTCAAGGGGATGGATGGAACCTGGGTTACAGATATCCAGGGTTGGAACCAGGCTGAGGGTAGATGGGACTATCTATGTGGGAGGAGCCAGGCAGGGGGAGGCCTCAAGAGGAAAAAAGGGGAAGCAGGAGCCTTCTCCTGGAAATCTTGTCAGAGGCCTCCTGAGACCTCTTGGTGTTAGGACAACTGTACAGCCCTCAGTAGGTGGCTGATGGGTGTTCAACAACCAGCTCTGCAGGAAGAAGCCCTGAGCTGTTAGATCTATTGATGGCCAAGGTTTGAATATTCTCAGGGTTGCTTATTTCAAGTGGGGCTCCAATTGGAATAGTAGCAATATTTCCACTAGGTAGATAACCTTGAGAACATAGATCCTCCTAAATGGTAGTAAATTAAGTAGTAATAAATTATGAGCATCATCATAATTTTAATAGTCTTTATTTTTCTTTATTTTTAAAAATTTTAAAAGATTTTCTTTATATATCTTTAGAGGGGAAGGGAAAGATAGAAGGAGAGAGGGAGAGGGAGAGAAATATCAATGTATGGTTGCCTCTCGTGTGTCTTCTGCTGGGAACTAGCCTGCAACCCAGGCATGTGCCCTGACTGGAAATCAAACTGCAATCCTTTGGTTCTCAGGCCCATGCTCAATCCACTGAGCTACACCAGCCAGGGCTATTTTTAAATTTTTTAAATTAATTTATGATTTATTAGTGTTTTTATTGTATTTTTTATTTTTGTAATTTTTAAACTTTTTTTAGTAGTCTTTTTAAAAGTGTGAGTTCATTTAATTGAAATTTAATGATGTTTGTGTTAACCACTGGCTCACACAATTCCTGAAGATTTAACTGTCTGCTCTCATGAGCTAGTAGGAGTGGCACCTGAGCTCCAGGGCTACCACCCTCCTCTGCATACCGTCCATACTTTAGCCAACTTGACTATCTTACTTGGAAGGCAAACTTCTTCTCACCTCAGGGCCTTTGCACTTACTGTTTCCTCTGCCTAGAGTGCTGTTTCCTCAAATCTTTACATACAATAGCAGGTTCCTCCTTAGCATTTAGGACATAGCTTGACCATTACCTCCCCAGAGAGAACTTTGGCCCTCCTGACCAACCAATCTAGTGACTACCTCACCACACAGTTATTTTCTTTGTAGTCAGCAGCAATCTGTTCCCTGTGCCAGGCACGGCACTCAATTGATATTTATCGAGGGAATGAATATATCAGATAGGGGACTGCACACTTATGTGCATTAATTCACATGACTACTGACATTGCTGGTTCCAAAAATCAGATGGCCTAGTGTAGTGCTGAGGAGAGAGTCTCCTTGACCCCAAGTCTGGGCTCCAATGATGGGTGAAGAACAGGTGCCTCTGCCAAGCAGTCTGAGAGAGGGAGGGTCTATACCTCACCTCAGGTCAGGAGTTCCTGGTGCCAGTGACATCCCTCCCCTTCTCTCCTTTCAGTGAACCCAGGTACGAGGCTGCAATACGAGGACAACATTCACTGGATCCGGGAGGCCGCCAAGCACCAGCTGGTGAGGGCTTAGCTTGGTAGGGGGCAGGGGTGGGCCATGAGACTGCCTGCCTGGCCAGTAGACAAGAGATCCAAGAGGGTGCCAACATACACCATGAGACTAAGTGGCAGACCCACAAGAGTCAGCAGCTACCTTGTTCCTTGGGGTGCTGAGTAGAGAAATTGAAGGCCCTTGAAAAGACCTGGGACAGTGACCAGGACCAGTCAAGTCACTCTTCACCCAGTTACTCTACAAAGAGTTCTCTTGAGAAGCAACCCCTGAAGGTCCCAATAGGCAGGCATCCTGGCTTCTCAACTGTGTGACTTAGGTGAGTGGCTCAGCCCCTCTGAACCTTGTGTCTCATCCATACTGAGGAGATGCTGGTGATGATAAATGCACCTGGCTGTGGTGGAGTGCTTGGACCGGGCCCTCTATGGTAGTCAGTGCATGAGTCATCAACAGGGCCAGGGTTGCATTGGCTTCATTTCTGTGATTGTGACTGTGACTGTGTTCTAGTGAGTGTGAAAATGAGTGTGATGTGTGGTAGGAACTGCTTTATACTGATGGATCAGAAAGGTATCTCTGAGGAGCTGCCTTGTGAGTTCAGATCTAAATGCTGGGAGTTGGAGAATGAGGGAGCAGCCATGTGATAGTCGGGGGGGCAGAGAGACCAGCCAATGCACAAGCCCTGATGTGGAGAGCAGGTTTTGTGTACCAGGGACAAAATAAAAAGGGGATATTTTGTTCACATGCTTTTGGCCATAGCACCCAGTGGCCAGACCACATCTACCTAATGGGTCCTTGACCAGGAGGAGCACTGCTCCCTTTCCAGTGCTTCTGTGCTCCAATGGCGTCCATATAAATTGCTGTCTCCTTGCCCAGTGGTTTGTATGCATGTTTTGGTGACAAAACCCCTGGTGCTGAGAGGAGTCTCTGTGACAAGCCAGAGTCTGAGATGTCCAAGGCTATTGGCTGTTTATATTTGTATTTTATTTATAGTACAGTTTCCCCCATAAGGATTTAAGGCAACTGGTTTTAAGGCCATTGCCCACCAGCACTAGCACCTGGCTGTTGGATAGAAAGTCAGGAGAAAGAAACAAAGCTAATCATCTGCAAGCAAAATGGTCAAGACTGAGCCCTGCATTTTAGGCTCATGGGGAAGTGCAAGGTTAACCCATCACTGGCCCCTCCAACCTTTCACCCCATTCCTGGGGTGAAAGGTTGGCCAAACAGCTGAGGGAAACACCTGCATCCTCTTTGAAGAATACAGGGTTTCTCAGCCTCAGCACTACAGACATCTGGTTTCAGATGGTTTTTTTTTTCAATTCTGGTAAAATATGCATTAATGTAAATTTTACCATTTCAGCCATTTTTAAGGTACAACTCAGTGGCATTATGTACATTCACATTGTTGTGCCATCATCACCACCATCATCTCCAGAACTTTTTTATCACCCCAGACTAAAACTTTGTGCCTATTAAAGAACAGTTCCCCATTCCCTTCTCCCCAGAGGTGCTGCATCCTTGTAGTTGAGTGTGTAGATACTTAGCCATGCCACCTACAGTCTGGATGACCAGGGAAGGTTGCTTACCTCTCTGGGCCTCAGTTTCCTCATCTGTAAAATAGAGCCTACAATTAGGACAATAGTGTGTTCCTCATAAAACTCACAAATGAATGCCTGTGTAAAGTTCTTAGAGTTGTGCCAGGCACAATCAAAAACTGCATTAAATAGTGTTAATATTATTACTGGAAAGACTTGAATAGGGTACAGCTAATAATAGGTAACATCCCTGGAGATGGATGAGTCAGGGTCTCAGAAGCAGATTGCAGGTGGACATGTGAGGAGTTGATGTGACCACCCCCTGGGTAGGTATGCAGGCTTGCCTTAGGCCCACCAATTTTAGGGCTACCACATACCTTGTGGGTCCTTCAGGACCTTCCTGGAGGCAACCATCTGGCTGCTAGTGGGACATATCATCCAAGTCTCTCCCATGTATCATCAGGACACTGAGGTATCTCCTTTTATCTTTCTCTCCATAGGTGGTGGGCTCCCAGGCACGGATCCTGTACTCAGACCAAAAAGGCCGTGTGGCCATTTCTGTAGCCTTTAACAAAGCCATTGCCCATGGAAAGATCAAGGTGACATTTCCCATGCTGCTGGTGGGGGCCTCCCTTTGGGTCCTTCTTGTTAGCACCAGCACAGCCCCAAGATTCTATCATCTGTGTATGTGTCAACTGATGGTCAGTAGCTGGGAGCAGGGAGAGATGAGGATCTGCCCTCAAACCCAGGTTCTGCCACTAGTCCCTGTGTGACTTTGGGCAAGTCAAGTACCTTCTCTGAGCCTCAGTTTCCCTCCTGTTAAAAGAGAATTGTATTTTTTTAAAAGATTTTATTTATTAATTCTTTTAGAGAAGGGAGGGACAAAGGGAGAGAGAGAAACATCAGTGTGTGGTTGTCTCTTGCAGGCCTCCCATCAGGGACCTGGCCCACAACCCAGGCATGTGCTCTAGACCAGGAATTGAACCAAAGACTCTCTGCTTCACAGTCTGGCCATCAATGCACTGAGTCACACCAGCCAGGTCAAAAAAGGCAATATTAACCTCAAAGCATGGATGTGAGGATTAAATGAGTTAGTTTTCATCTGAGTATTTTATATATCTTTGTTAAATTATCTTTTTAAAATCATAATAAACTTCTTATTTACCTCTGAATCAGTCCTGCCAACTTTGGAGAACATGGAGCCCTCGACACACTTGTTCAGAGGGGCCTCTCACTCTGTTTTGTAGGCTCACGTGCAGAGTTCTTATAACAGGCCTTTATTTAAAAGCACCAGAAATATTAGTGATCAGAAACAAAAAGGAAATAGAAGTAGATGAAAGTGAAGGCTGTCCCTGTGGATGTTTCTGAGAACACTGGTAGCAAGGCCAGCAGCCCCAACCTTTCTCAGGGAGCATCATCAGAGGGTACCACTCTTTGACACTTCTCAAAAGCTCATGTTCTCATGGGGAAGGCTGGCATAGCTTGGCCAAATGTGTCCCTCTGGGCACACTCACACCTAGGCTGGGGTCAGAAATCAGCACTGAGAACTGGGTGTTTTAATCCTCCCTCACTTTCTCCCTCCCTCCCTCTTTTTTTTTTTTATTCATCAATTCATTGGACATTTCCTCTGTGCCTGGCTTGTTCTAAGCACTGAGGGCAATGTAGCAAAGAATAAGATAGTCAGGGTCTCTGCCTTAACCTATTTACTAGTAAAGAGAAACTAACAATATATGTTAACCAAATATATAAATTCAGGGAGAGTTTTAGATAGTGATGAGCACTATTGAAGAAAATGAGTTGAGTTGACATGGTAGGGATAAAGGGGTAGGGTGAGCAGTGACTTTAGATGGTGGGGCCAGGACAGGCCTTTCTGAGTTGCTGGAATAGAACTGTGGCCTTAATATCCAAAAGGTGCCAGAATACCTGGGGCAGGTGATTCCAGGGCAGGTGGAGAGGTGGAAGCAAACTTGGTCTGTTCAAGGAAAGGAGAGAAGGTCCTCTTGATTCAGAGCAGTGGGGAGTTACCCTTCTGGCAGGCTACCTACTCCCATATGGGGAGCCCATGAATTTCTGTTACCACTGAGAAGGGCTGGGAAAACTAGCACCCAGTAGTGTCACAGACTTAGGGGCCAGGCTGCCTGAGGGAAGAACCCAGACTCTAGTATGCTGTGTGTGTCTTTAAATCCCAGCCTACCCATTTACCAGCTCTGTGAGATTGGGCAAGTTACTTATCCTCTCTGGGCCTCCATCTTCTTTTCTATAAAATGAGCATGATAACAGTCATGCCTACCTGGATAGGGTTGTTGAGATGACTCAGTGAATTAACACATGCATAGGATATGTGGGTTTCTGGGTACATAAAATAGAAAGGGTCAAAATAAGCAGAATCTATTAGTAGCTGCAGGAAGACATAAAAAAAATCCACATTTCCTCTTATTAAAGGTCTGTTTTCCCGGTGTGGTGTATCTGATGAGCTTCTGGTGGGGCCTGATCCAAGCTGACATCTCGTATCCTTGCACACTGTAGGCACCAGTAGTCCTGAGCCGAGACCACCATGATGTGAGTGGCACAGACAGCCCCTTTAGGGAGACCTCCAACATTTATGATGGCTCTGCCTTCTGTGCAGGTGAGAAAAGCAAAAAAGTATTAATAATTTTTTAATGTTGGATTTGGATTTTATTTAAAAATCAATTGATTCATTTAGCTAGTCATGATGTTACAAAAAAGGTGCATTTGAGAGGCATGATGTAGAGCGACCAACCCAGGACAGAGAGAGGGGGTTCTGAGACATGGACTTCTGGTTTTAAAATTGGGCCAGTGTTAGGCAAACTAGGAGAGTTGGATGCCCTAGTTGTGGGTGCACTTCTGGCCCCATCAATTGCTGGATGATCTTTTGCAAGGTACTCAAAGTCTCGGAACCTCAATGTCCTCATCTGTAAAATGGAAATGGAAATTTCCATGTAAAATGGAAATAACAATAGTACCTATTTCAAAGGTTTGTCGTGAAGAATAAAATGAATGTATACACATCCGGCATTATATCAAGGTTCCACGGCCAGTGCTCAGTGAAAGTTAGCTTCTGCTGCTTTCATCACTGATACTGCTTGTACAACTGCTATAATTATCATCAACACACAGGCAGATGAGTTCTATTTCTGGGGTAACTTTCTTATTCCTGGCTCCTTCCATTATGCACAGGTTCCCAAGGGAAGGAGTCAGACACTCAGAAACACCATTCTTTTTTCAAGGAATTGGTCTATTTCATCAAAGTTATCAAATTTATTGTACAGAGTTGTATTCCTTTATTGGCTTTGTACTGTTTATGAGGTCAGTTGTGATGTACTCCCTGTCACTCCTCAATTGGTCATTTGTGTCTTCTCTTTTATTGATCAGTTGGCTAGAAGTTTATCAATTTTATTGATTTTTCTCAAAGAAGAACTTTCAGTTTATTTGATTTTCCTTTAATTGCTTCTCTGCTTCCAAATGTATTGATTTATGCTCTAGTCTTCAGTATGTATGGCCTTCTTTCTGCTTGCTTTGAGTTTAACTTGCTCTACTTTCTGTGAGGTAGAAGCTGGGGTTACTGATCTGACCTCTTTCTTTTCTAATATAAGTATGTAATGCTATAAATTCATCTCTAAACACTGCTGTAGCTACATCCTACAAATTTTTATATGTTATATTTTTATTTTCACCCAGTTCAAAATATTTTAAAATTTGCTTTGGAACTTCTTCTTTGATCTATGGATTATTTAGAAGCATGTTGTTTAATTTTCAAGTTTTGGGGGATTTTTCAGATATTTTTCTGTTACTAACTTCTGATTTAATTTCTTTATGGTCTAAGAACTTACTATGTATTATTTCTGTTCTTTTAAATTTGTTAAGGTTTTTATGATCCAAATGTTGTCTATCTTGGAGCACTTGACAGTATGTATCCTGCTGCTATGTGGTGAATTATTCTTAAAATGCCAATTAGGTCAGGTTGATTGGTAATGCTGTTCAGGTCACTTATCTTTACTGATTTTCTGCCTATTCTATAAATTACTGAGGGAGGAGTGGTGAAGTTTTCAAATCTATTTGTGGATTCAATCTATTTTTTCTTTCAGTTCTTAAGCATTTTGTTTCATATTTTAAAGCTATGTTGTGGGGTATACATTCATTTAGGTTTATTATATCTTTTTGGAGAATTGACCTCTTTATCATTATGTAATATCCCCTTTTATTTTTGTAATATTCCTGGTTCTGAAATTCTCTGATGTTAATACAGTTTATGTTTGTATCCTAGGGTCACTATAATAAATCACAACCTTAATGGATAAAATAATCCAAATGTACACTTCCACACTTCTGACACCAAAAGTCTAAAGTCAGTTTTAAAAGGCCAAAGTCAAGGTTTTAGCCACACCATGATGTTGTAGAATACTACAGAGGAAAATCTGTTTCCTGGCTTTTTCCAGCTTATAGAACTACATTTCTTGGATTTCTTGGCTCACGGCATTTCCTAATCCTTGCAGCCCAGCAGCAAGAAAAAAGCATTGTTAGGATTCTCCTTGATCTTCTCTGTGAGCACCCAGTGGAATTTTTAGAGTAAGAGCCTGCCAGAGAGTACAAACCCTCTTATATCCATCCATGTTCCACAAGCCTCATAGTTACAGGGCTCATGTTTATCTTTCAGCACTTTGTTAAACAGTCATAAGATGACCAGTTTGGGCTCTGTTTCTCTGTGCAAATGCTTATTTCTCCCCATATTTCAAATTTGTTAGTTGCCCTGGTACCACAGTTATCTGATCGGGTCAAATAAATCACTAATTTGCAATTTGACCCTGTCCCGTCCATTCTTTTGTTTGTTTGAAAGGTGGAAGTGATATTCTTTGTCTTTCTACATTTCTAAGCTAAAAACACTACCACCTGCCTTTTAGTTCTATTTTATTCCTACTTCTGGGGTGCTTTGTCTGGCATTTAGTGTTAAAGAGCATAACTGTAGGGAAGGATAATTGTGGGCAAGTGGGCATTTTTCAACTTCTTTACTTTTTGCTCAGCTTTGCAAACATAAATTATTGCTATTTCTAGAGTCATCTTTCCTTAGTATCTGTCCTTCAGGCTTGAATGGCTCTGTCTTATCCAGTGGGACATCCACTGGTTGGAGCATGGCTTTGCCCTGGCCCACCTCATTCAGGGAATGACAGGTTGTGGCTTTTGTTTCCACAGACATGGCCGTACAGAACTTCGTGGGTGATGCCTTTCGAGGAGCCACCTGGGTCGCTCTTCACAATGGTGGGGGCGTGGGCTGGTAAGAAAGTTTTGGAAAACAGGGTGGTGAGGGTGCAGGCTCTCGTGGAAGGCATAGGGATTCCCTTGAGGGTCCTGGGTCCTGCCTCCCCCAACCTTCCTTTGCTGAGGGCTTTGCTGTGATGTTTTCCTCCTATAAGGTAGAAATTGGAGTGACAAAATATTGAGGGAATGGGTGGCAAAATGTCTTGAACAAACTAGTCTTCCTTTGGGGGTCTTACCTGTCACATAGGACACGAAGGCTGTAAGAACCATGACTGCCCCTTTTATGTCAGTTTTTACTTTGCATTCACAAATATTTCCTCAGAAATCCTCATAGTACTGTCTTTTTATTTTACCCACAATTCCCAGGGCAGACAGACAAGGAGGCAGGAGACCTAGGTTCCTGGTTCCCCTGGGTTGCTAGCTGAAGGCGCTGCCCTGGCCAGTTCTAGTCTGCACCATTAGGAAATTTGTGGTTTCTGGGAGGGCCTTATTTTGGCTGAAGATGTCCACTATAACTGTACTTCCAACATGAGCAGGTTTTCTCACACCACACAGCAATTTTCTCCAATACCTGTAATTCAACTCAATTCTGACACTAACTACCTGAAGATAGCCTCAGATTCCCACAGGTTGTGGACTCAGTCCCACAAGACTGTTCTTACCCCACTTCAAATTGCAAGCCCAGGTTATTGCCTGCTTCTGACTGATCCTCTACAGATTGGAATGTCCCAAGACATCCTCCTTGAGTTCTATTAATTTGCTAGAATGGCTCACAGAACTCAGGAGACCTGTTTACTAACCATATTATTGATTTATCACAAAAGAGATTTAAGGATACAAATCAACAGTCATAAAAAGATACATTGGACTCAGGTCCCAACAAAGGAGTTTCTATCTTTATGGAATTTGGGGCCCACACAGTGGCACAGGGAAGCATTCTGTTTCCCCAACCTGGAAGCTGTCTGAACCCCAATCTTTTTTGGTTTCTATGGAAGTATCATTATATAGGTGTGATTAATTAATCAATGGTCATTGGTGATCAGTTCAACCCCCAATCCCTTCCCTGCTCCCTGGAAGTTTGTGGGTAGGACTGAAAGTTCCCACCTTCCGCCCTGGCTGGTGTAGCTCAGTGGATTGAACGCAGGCTAAAGAACCAAAGGATTGCAGTTTGATTCCCAGTCAGGGCACATGCCTGGGTTGCAGGCCAGTTCCCAGCAGGGGATGCATGAGAGGCCAACCATACATTGATATTTCTCTCTCTCTCTCTCCTTCCCTTCCCCTCTAAAGGTAAAATAAATAAAATGTTTTTTAAAAAAGAAAGTTCCCACCTTCTATTCTCAGTTGGTTTCCCTGGCAACCAACCCCCATTTTTATGTGGGGGGTCTACAAGTAACCTCATTAACATAACAAAAGACATCTTTATTGTTCTCCACCCTTAGGAATTCCAAGGGTTTTAGTTCTGTGTCAAAAATGTGATGAAGACCAAATATAGATTTCTTATTATAAATTACAATTTCACATCTGCTGTTAAGAATAAAAATAACTTATACTTATTGCACATGGACACTGTGGCAAGCATTTTCTAGACTCTTTAAATCCACTCTTACACAGTTAATTTTAGAAGGAAAACACATTATACAGATGATAAAACTGAGGCACCAAGAAGTTAAGATGCTGTAGGAACTGCACTTGCACAGGGTCTGCCTCTATGGGGTCACTTGGGGAAGCTTCTAGGACGAGCTCAATTCCTGGCTATCTGGAGCAGCAGGGGGAATGGCAGCTTCAGATAGGAGGACAGCTCCCTGGGCCTGGCTATCTCAGAACTGACCTCTGAGCCTGTTTTGGACAGCCAGATCAAGACTGGCCTTGCCCTCCAGAGCCAAGTGTTTTAGCACTTGAGCTTCCCAGGGCATTATGATGGGCCAGCTTGGATGGAATTTTAAGCTGCAGCTCAATCGGGTGGCCCTAATGAATGGAAAGTGTAACTGGAATGCATACCCTTTCTGACACAAAGGATGGAGAACACCAGGACACGAGAAGAGTGCCTAGTTATTGGGTACCTGGCCTTTTAGCACTGGACTTACTGAGAAGGTTCTGAAAGTGAAGAGAGATGCTGAACAGGGAGTAACTTGCCCAAGGCCATAGAACTGATGATAGAGCTGGGGTCTGGACCCAGATATGTTGCCTTTCAGGATCCACTCATCATTGCCAATGGGACAACAGAGGGCAAGGAGGGACAGAGCAGAGCAGCCTAGAGTCAACAACATGAGGGCCTAAAAGCAGGGGACAGCTGGATCAGAATTCCGGCAGAACATTGCTTACCCTTACCCATTGTACTCTGGAATCTCAGGACAGGGAGTATAAATTCCCAAGTTTCTCCCACCTACAAGGCTGTCCCCAGGCTCTGTGGACAGGAATACAAGCTGGCAAGATATGGGCATCAACACCTTGTATCCTTGCTGCTTTTGAGGGCTCTTTTGGGAACACCTCAGATTCATGTTGGAATTCATTAGGCTTACACGTTCACAATTTAATCTGTCAGACGTTCCTGTAAATCTTTCTGCGAAAATCAGCCAGAAAATCTGTCCTACCACCATTCCTATTCTAGGAAGAAATAACTTCCAACTCCAGCTTTATTTTTCTTCTTTGTTGTATGGAAATTCATGTTTCTAAATTATAAGCTTATTCTGTTATTGCTTGATTTGCTTTTAGTTTTGTGAATTGTTTATTTGCTCCCTGTTTTTATATTTTATTTTTCCAATGATCAATATCATCTTTGTGTCATTTTCTGCTCCCTTTCTTGCCTCTGTCTCCTCAAAGCCTCTGTTTCTGATTGTTCACTTGGTGTCTGTCTATTTTCTGTCTGTTTAGTTGCCCTTGCTGTCTGTCTGCTCTTTTAGATAGGACTGGTTGGTTTTCCTGCCCTTGTAGGGAGGGTGCAGTCAGTTCTTGGAGCTGGGTGGGAAGGACACAGCCTCACTGTTGGGTGTTGAGACTTTCCTCAGCCCTTGTGTTACATGTTTATTCTGCTGGCCCAAGGCACTCTGAGCAGCGAGGGCATTGAGGGCTCCTGCCATCTGCGCACATAGACCTTCTTCACCTTTCCCACCCCCAGTGCAGCAGGAAGCATCTTTGTATGTACAGTTTTGTTGTAAAATTAAGAGCATGAATTCTGAAGTTGATTTGTCTATACAACTTAAACTGTTAAGCTTTGTTTCTCATCCACAAAATGGTCATAATAATAGCAACTGCTTTGTAGGTTAGTGGTGAAGATTAAATTAGTTAACAATAGCTAAGGTTTATATAGTGCATAATATGTTCAAGGTCTTCTAAGAAATTTGTGTGCTAGCTCATTTAATCACCACAACAGACCCATCTAAGAAATAAATACTACCCAGCAGAGATAAGTATCTTTGCTCAGGTGTCACAGCAAGTTGGGGTCACAGGAGGCCTGGCACAAATGCATGTGTCAATCTACCACAGATCTGTTATAAATGAGCCAGAAGAAGACCTGGAACATGGTGTACCTCCCATAAATGTAAATCTCTGTCATATGCATGCTATTTGTAATTTCAGGTTCAAAAAAGTGGGAGTTTTAAACTTTGATAGCTACTACCAAATTTCCTGTTTGGCCCTGGCTGGTGTGGCTCAATGGATTGAGTGCCCGCCTTCGAACCCAAGAGTCACTGGTTCAATTTCTAGTCAAGGCACATGCCTTGGTAGTGGGCCAGTTACCCAATAAAGGGTATGTAGGAGGCAACCACACATTGATGTTTCTCTCCCTCTCTTTCTCTTTCCCTTCCCCTCTCTCTGAAAATAAATAAGTAAAATCATTTTTTTAAAAATCCCCATTTGCATAACCTCATCAACACTAAATGTAATCACTCACTGGATGTTAACATGGGAATTACCAGCCTGGAAAGGAAGAAGTAACAAATTCTTGTTTTGTTTGAATTGCCTGCTCTGAGGTGTTTTTTTTCAATCCTTACCCAAGAATATGTTTTGATTTCTTTTTTAGAGAGAGAGGAGGAGAGGTAGAGAGAGAGAGAGAAAGACAGACAGACAGACATCAATGTGAGAAACATTGATCTGTTGCCTCCTGTATGTGCCCTGTCCCAGGGATCAACCCCAAACCTTTTAGCACACATGACAGTGCTCCTACCAATTGAGCCATCTAGCCAGTGCTGCTCTGAGGTTTTTGTTCTTGAATTGTGTGGTTTTTCTTATCAATTTCTGGTCATTCTTAATCTATTTTAGGTATAAGATTGATATATTGGGTTCCTGTCACTTGTCTTTGAACTTTATTTAAAACATCTGTGCTGACTGTGTTCTCCAGAAGACAGATTCGGGGGGGGGGGGGAGTGTGCAAAAGAGTTATTAAGGAGGACCACCTGGGATAGGAAGGGTTGGGAAAGGTGGAAATGAGACAGGATGATTGGGTGGGGGAGCCCCCCATTCCCACACAGACCTGATAGTCTTGATGCTGGCAGGGAGTTCTAGAGCACAGATAGCCATTGTAGGAGCCACTTTGGTAAGAAGTGGGCAAGCCCCATTTCATGGTGTCGCTCAGTCTCTGACCCAAGTAGGAACCTAAGGAGTTATTGTTCAGGGCTGTGAGTGAACCACCTTCCCCCACAGCTGGGCTTTTTGGAAGGGGTACCTGGGCTGGCTGTCTCCTCACAGGGGAGTTTTACATCTTTATCCAGTGGATTTTCTATTCTGGCCATTCATATTTTTAAATGTCACTTTAAAAATCCTCCCCCGACTCCTGAATTTATTTATTTATTTTTTAAAAATTTTATTTATTTATCTTTAGAGGGGAAGGGAAGGAGAGAGGGAGAGAAATATCAATGTATGATTGCCTCTTGTGTGTCCCCTGCTGGGAACTGGCCTGCAACCCAGGCAAGTGCCCTGACTGGGAATTGAACCGTGGTTGTTTTGTTCCCAGGCCTGCACTCAATCCACTGAGCTACACCAGCCATGGCTCTGGCTTTTAAAAAATTCTCCTAAACTTTCTTTATTCATCTTGAAAATTTAAAATATTTCTTTCCTTAGTAACACCTGGATTTTGTTTTCCTTTATGTCTGATGTAGGGTTCAACTTTCATGTTTTTCTCAAAGGGCTGATTATCCAAACACTGTCTATGAGTAACCCCAAATGCTGCAATGGTAGCAAGTCTTTAGCACCTCATTTTCCTGGGCTCAATATGGTCAGGGCTCCTCTGTAGGTAAGGTTTGCAGAAGATGCCTGAAGCTGAGCAGCTTTGGTCTCTGATCATCTAGCTTCTGGATCCCAAAATGAAAGCTGTAGTTCTAAACTCAAAAAGACCACTACGATTGAGAGTTCTCATTTGGTCAGTTTTACTGTCTTCTGCTTTCTTCTCTGATAACCATCATTGGCCTCTGACAGGTGAACAGTCATAACCTTAAATCTAGTCAGAGCATCTTACCCTAGATGCTGGTGGAAGACATGCTGGGAGCCTCCTCAAAGGCAGAGGATTGGCCAGGTGCAGGCTGGCATCAACACCAGGCTTTAGGGTCAGGCAGGGGCAGCTTTAGTGTCCAGAGTGGGAGCACTGGTGGCTCCTGGGATAGAGGGCTCCTCACCTTCTTAGTGGGAACTAATTGAAATTATAAATAGGGTCCAGGTTGGGCAGATAATATAAGACCTGACAGTCTAGACTTGACCAGGATCTGAGACTAGAGAAACTATATACACTTTCTGGGTGTGGGAAGGAAAAAGAGCAAATTCACTGGCACTGGGTACCAAAAAGCAGCTGTATGTTATGGTCCCATGTGTCCATGTTTGGCAGTAGAGCCCTAGAAGTTATTGGCAAGATCCATATTTTTTCCTGAGTGTGTACCTGAAGGGAACATCTGGAGTATAGCAACGTGAGCTGAGGAACTTTGGCTGTGTCCACCAGCCACTGGTAATGACATCAAAGGTATGAATGGGAGTCCAAGGGTGACAGAAAGGACAGGGACCTCATGACTGAAGGAGAAAGCAGCAGGGCAAATATGTGGACAGTGGAATAGTATTAACATACTCAAGTAAGAGTCAAGTGACATCTATTAAGAAACAAATGAACACAAGAACATATGATGCCTACAAGAGAAGGTGGTCAAAACAAAATTCAGAGAAATGCATTAATTAGAAAACAAGAAATGCTGAAAATAAGGAACTCAGCCTACAATTCAAGTAATCAGTATGCCAAAATATACCTAAAGCAAATAGAAAGAAAAAATAAAGGAGAATAAAGAGAAAATCAGTAAGAATGACAATTGAATTGAGTGATACAAGAGGAAGCATACATACCCCAAAGGAAGCAGAGGAAAAGGAGGTCATGTCACATTCAGGAGGTCAGACTTCAAGCAAGATGTGACAGATGATTGGGTCCTGAAGGTGGGTTCAGGGCCATGGGGTAAATCACAGAGGCATGAATATGAGGCACGGGACTGTGAAGCTTCTACATCTGAGGACACAGACTTCAACCCCAGGAGCCAAATACAAGACACCCTTAAACAACACTTCCAGAACATCCCAAAACTCACATGCATTTCTTCCTGTTCTGTGAGGGTCAGGACCCAGAAGTAACCAGGAAACTCTTACCTCTTGCAGGGGTGAGGTGATGAATGGTGGGTTTGGTCTTGTGCTAGATGGGACCCAGGAGGCAGAGAAGAAAGCCAAGATGATGCTCAGCTGGGATGTCTCCAATGGAGTAAGTCACCCTAAGTCTCTCCCCTGCCTTCTCTTTCTATTGGTGATTCTGCCCTTTTCAAATGCAGACCTGAGACAGACTTCTACCCCTTTTACTCCGGAAATGGTCAGGAGCACATCCTGCCATTCCTGCTTATTCATGGCTCTCCTAATCAGCTGCCCACATCTTTCTGGGCCTGTTTCCAGAGGCTACTTTGCATCTCCCAGCCTCTGGCCTTACCCTCCATTCCAGCCTCTATCCACACAAGGGGCCCCTGGCATCTGAACCTGCCCTTCCAGTGAGAGCAGTCCAACTGCTGGTAGGAGAGGCCTCCTTATAAATCCTTGTATTTCCACCATCTCTGAGGTGGGTCAGAGAATGTAGAACTTATACAACCCAGGGTGGACTCTCAGAGTGTGTGTGTGTGTGACAGGGGGTACATCCTCTCCAGGAGCACATCACAGGGAAATGGGAACAAATGGGAATAAATAAGGTGGTAATGGGGAAGGGTATGTGCAGCTGTGAGTGAAACAGGGAAGTGAGCACAAGAGCCCAGAGAGTTTGACGCTGGATGGCTTAAAGAGTAAATGTGACAATGGAAGTGAAGGGGTTCTTGAAGGTCTGACTCCCTGGAAGCCCCCAGCAGAGGGGAGTCTTCATTCTGAAGGCAGTGAAGCAGTGAGAGAATGGATTGGAGGGGGCATGGGAGGACCAGTGGACAGTGTAGGAGAAGGGAGTTTGGCAAGAATAGCAGCAGGGAGGAGGGGGAGGTGCCATGATGGTCATCCACAAAACCTTGATAATGGAGATGGAGAGAAGGAAGTGGATGGAGAGAGATTTTAAGGCAGATCTGAGGTGGATGTCCATTCTATGAGGCCAGAGAGGAAGGGTGCTGAGGATGATTCCTGGCTGCCTGGCCTGTGCCCCAGCATAGTGTGGGAGGCTTGGCAGAAAGATGGCCAATTTCTGATCAGAGAGGCAGGTAAATAGTAATTGGTCCAAGAGAGGAGGAGGCCTGAGCATTAAATGGGGCTGGCATAGACTGACCCCACCAATAGCAGAGGGTCTCCTAGCAGGTATGAGCCCAGCCCCAGTGTGTCCAGAATGACTTGTTGGTAACCTGATGATGTTGGCACCAGGTGCTGCACAGCTCTCTTTGCACCCCACTTACAGGTGGCCCGCCGCTGTTGGTCCGGGAACCAGAAGGCCTATGAGACTATCTGTGAGACGATGAAGGAGAACAAGGGCTTGGTAGTGACACTCCCATATGAGGTGGCAGACGAGCATTTGCTTCATCAGGCCTTGTGGCCATGAACAGGAATCCAAGAGTCTGCCATGGTCCCTTGGTCCCCCCAGTCTCTGTCCTTACCCTCACACCATACCATGCCTTCCCATGCACATCTCCCTCTCCTGGATCAGCAGCTTATTTGCCCTTATTTGGCCTCACTGTACCCTAGAAGGTGGGCTATTGCCATTCCCATTCCACAGATGAGCCAGTTGAGACCCAGAGAGATAGAGCCATTTTTTTTTATAACCACGTTACCCTGCTGGGAACTTGGGAGAGCAATGAAAATCTTGTTTGGGGTTACATCCTCAAGTTTTCCATGGAGTATACTCTGGGAGCTTTGGGGGTAGGCATTGGTAGTGAATACTGGCTGAGCTGACCATCAACCAAATACCTTCTAAGCCTCTTGCCATTTCTTCTCCTACCAAGGGGACAGGGTTTTTCCAGCTAGGCTTTTATGCCACTCTACCTCCTGTCCACCTTCTAGTCATCCATGCAACTCTCTTTCAATCTGCTAGCCTGTTCATTTGTCTGTGCAGGTACCTTCTGTACCTCCATGTTCCTGGCTCTAGGCACAAAGGAACATTGACCAGGCCCTGGGCTTGGAGGGGTCCAGGGAGGAAGATAGGAAAATAAAGGACTAACTAGAGAGCTGTGGAAGCTGGCATGGGCAAGGCAGATGCAGTGTGGTGCGATGGGGGCAGGGGAAGCTCTGACCTAAAAAAGTAGTGGTACTTTTTCGGGAGTAAAAGGAGAAAGTAGCAGTACTACCCATGGACAATCACTTATATAAATCTGCTCAGGAGCCCAGGAAATCTGGTTTGGGACCAAATGTCCTATAGGGAGCCATGTGGGATCTGAGGTTGGATTACTGCAAACACTCACCCCTGCCAAATCCTAGAGCCCAGCCTCAATGAAGATAACCCCTGGCAAGTGGATTACATGGCTATGCTTTCCAGGCCTTTGTTTTGAAGCAGGTACTTCTTTTTCTTAAGGGTGGTACTGCTGTATTCTTCCCCTGGTTATAAAAAGGAGTCAAGTGCAGAGATGAGTTCCCTGCTCCTCTATTTTCATCCTTCCTGCCCCACCAACTGATACTGGGACCTGATCCCTTTTCTATAAACATACAGGGCCATGCAGGAAATCAGGGAGACACTGCCCCTGAAGTAGGCCCCCTTGATGGCACCACACTTGCTGACCCCTCACATTAGGACACCTCTCATGACCTTGTTATGCGAAGCAGAGCAGCTTTGACCACATATATTATTCTCATTAGTTTCTGGCCTTAGCTTAGCCCCCAGCTGGACCCATGACAAACTTAACAATGGCTCATCCTAACCAAAAAATTAGGAAAGATATTGGGGGATGGGTCTATAAGGAGCCACAGAAAACTTTTCACCCCTACCCCTCCATGTTGGCAGAGAGGGGACCAGTGTACCTTAATTCTGAGTCCTTAATCACTCAGTATTATTTGTTTCCTCCCCAGTGGTCATCTTACAAAACCCCAGTTGTGTCTGTGCAGCAATATACTCAGTAAAAATAGTTGATTTCACAGCAATTAACAGTGCAATTAACAGTGACCGCAGACTAAGTTCTGGCCTATGAGATGAGGTGGAAATCTGCTGGGCAGGACTTTTGGGAAAGCAGTTATTTTTCTAATAAAAATGTACAGATGTGACTGGATTGCTTTTTGCCTTTGCCCCTTCTTCCTGCTAGAACCACAGGCCTGATGCTGGAAGTACAGCAACCATGCTGTGACCATAAGGCCCGAAGGGGCATAGGAGGGGTACACATGGAAAGGTACAGGTGCCTGGGCTCTTGGCAGCAGATACAGCTGCCATTCCAGCATCATCCTGCTTGTCTCCAGATTTCTTGGTCCTCATGTGTTAAAGCCATCCCAGCAGGGCTTTTGTTTCACACAGCAGGAAGAGTATCTAATCATTATAGCATCTGTCAACAAGACTCCATGGAAAGTACCATTGAGCATATAGCTGCATGAACATTCCCTGTCTCTAAGGAGAAACCAAGAAAATATGTTCAATTTTAAGACCAGGCCCTCCTTTTCCCACCCAGTATCTTCCCTTATTAAGGACAGGTAGGGCTGAGGAAAATGGCAGAAGAGTGAGTGGAAGTCACACTGACCTCTACCCAGTGCCAATTTTGAATTATAACTTAATTATGAAGAAACCACTCATAACAAACAACTGAGCAATAGCCAGAGAGAAGCAAAATAACTTTGGACAGACAGAAGAACCATCTTCAGCACAACCTGTCTGAAAAAGAGTATGGTGGAGCCTTGAGAAGGCTGGCTAGGTGCCCACAGGTGGCAGCGCCTGAGGGATAATTAAGAAGCTGGTGGATCTCCTTGAGAAGAGTGGGGTCTAAACCTAAGCTGGGATTCCCAGCCTAGGGCACCAGAACACAAAAAATACACAGATAACAACCAGCAACAAAAAGCAGCAGGGCTGCAGAGACAGATGGCTGGAGATGCAAGAGCCATTTAAAGGTCCAACACACAAATTTTCCTCTGCAACCACTTACCCAGGGCACTGGTAAAGGTGAGGGTAGAGTGGACTGCTGATGCCTGAGGAGAGACTAAGAACTGAAGCTTGAGGGAGAGAACTGAGAGAGTAGACACTGGGATCCTGGGGCTGAGTAATCCCTCAGAAGGCAGCAGCCATCCTGTTCAGACATATTACTCCGTTCTGAGCAGCAGCAGCCTGAGGGGAAACAATATCCCTGACCCCAGGAGGGATTTGGCCATGTCCTACAGTGCTTAAACTAGACTGCTGAGTGCAGGGTGACCAGATTAACAACTAACTGATGGAGACAGCCAGTGACAGCAGATCACTGGAAGTCTCGAACAGGGTGTTTAAGGTCTGACGGGGTCAACTTCTGACATCACCAGAGGCAAATCCAGAAAGAAGAAAACAGTGGTAAATACAAGAGGCTACTGAGAAGAAAACCACTGTGTTCTTCTTCATTATTTGTGATATTTCCTTTCCTGAATAGCTTTTTACTATTCATTTCTTGTCCAGCAAGTTTGTACATATTGTTACTAGATATTATATTATAGTGTATTTCAATTCACATATTTTGTCCCTCTCTTCTCTTAACCCATTTTACCTTAGTCTTTCCTTGAATTATTTTCATTTCAAACTTTGTTTTCTTTCTAGCTACAACTTGTTTCTATTCCACACTCTTACTGTCTCTCCCCTGTCCAGACACACAAAAGCAATTTCCTTGTCAAGGTCATTTCACATCCTTTTGCCCTGCTCTTAAAATACCTGCATTCTCTCTCCACCTTTAATAATCTTTGCTAGTTGGTTGTGGGTAGGGTAGTTGTCATTGCATTGTTTTTTCAATTTTATTTCTAGAGCTTCACTAATTCTGTATTTCAAATACAAAAATACAAATTTTACTGGTCCCCTCTCCTACTTTTTTTTCTTGTCTCAAATTTTAATTTTGCTGTCTTAGCCTGTTCTTTTTGTCTTTCTTCTATTTCTCTTTCACCCTGCCCTTTTATTTTTATTTATTCTCCTATTTTTTTCTTTTTACTGTTTTCTTACATCTCAAATTTTAATTTTTCCCCCTCTTAGCCTGGTTTCTGTTCCTCAATCTTAGTATTCCCTCTCCCTCTATCATTTCAAAATCACTTCTCATTTCTTGACACATCTCTTAGACTTTTCTTTGTTTCTTTTTTTCCCTCTTATTCCATATCAACTATATTAATTTTAGTTCATTTGTTGTTGATCATATTGTGGTGGATCTTTCTCTCCAGTTTGGCTCCTATATTTTAATTAATTATTTACTATTTTTTCTTCCTTTTTCTTACTCTCTTTCACTTTATTTTATGTTACTTTAACTTCTGTTTAAGCCTAATATTATATGCTCCCCTGTTAATACTCCATTCTACATTCTTCATTCCCATTTTTTATTCATGAGGTAAATTTTACCTTCTCTTTTTTCATTGCTCCAACTCCCAACTCTTATTAGTACTCCTCCCTCTAGCCTCTCAAAATTATTTTTCTTTTAGTAGTCATGTCATATCTGCTTTACTTTCTTTTAATAGTATTAATCTTTTTATACCCTTATTAATACTGGTTCATTTGCTATTGATAGTGGCATTGTGTGGGCAGTTATATTTGTGGGTGTGGATTTGTTTCCTGAACTTTGTGGTTTTCATCAGGAAGCACATAAGACATGGTGGGCAGAGTGACCATCAGACAACCAGATGGAGGGAAGGAAACACCAAAGAACTACCCAACAACAATCCAAACCCAATTACATCCAGAGAACCAGCAAAAAGCATAAAGGACATCCCAAGAGCATCAGGTTAAGGTGATTAATGAGACTACACCACTGAATCTCACAGGCCTCCTACCATAGAAGTTGTTACATCACAAAGTAAGAAAGCAAAACAGATCAATTTAAGAAGCAGAAGCAAACAAGAAGATCCACGCAAATAATGGGAAGACAAAGAACAACTTCCAGTTGAAAGGAAAGGAGGAATCCTTAGAAAGAATGCTAAATGAAATAGAGGCAAGTCAACTATTAGATAATGAGGTCAAAGCAATGGTTATAAGGAAGCTAAATGAGCTCAGTGCAAATTACCAAAAACTGCAGGGAAACTACACATAAAAAAAGGACATAGAAACAATCAACAAGGGCCAAGAGGAAATGAAGAATACAATTTCTGAATTGAAGAACACACTAGAAGGAATCAAAAGTAAGCTCAAATAAGCAGAGCATTGAATCAGCAAGCTGGAGGACAAGGTAGAAAAAAACTCCCAAAAAGTGCAAGAAAAGGAAAAAAAACTCAGAAGAATGAAGATGGATTAAGGGAAATTCAGGACAACAAGAAACACAATAGTATCCATATAATAGGAATACCAGAAGGAGAATAAGAAAAGGAATGGAAAACCTGTTTTGAAAAAAGTAATGATAGAAACTTCCGGCCAAGATGGAGGCATAGGTGAAAACACTGTGCCTCCTTGCACAACCAAGTTTAAAGACAACAAAGTTTTAGTAACAAAAATGCAACCAAAACACAGAAAATCGAACTGTACAGAAGTCCAACAACAACGAACCATTCATCGAGACTGGTAAGAGAGATGAAGTCAGCGGCTGGCAGAGCAGGTTTGCACAAGAAAAAGCAGCCAGACCAATGCAGGCATGCAGGTGGTGGTTGGTAGATCCCAGGTGTAGGGTGGCAATGGGTGGACCCAGTGGGTGCACAGGGTGGCTGGCTGACCAAGGTCAAACATTCATGGGCAGATAAACCAGGCAAAGGAGCGAGCAGCAAGACAGACTATGCAAACCAGGGGCGCAACACTGGGAAATAAAACCTAAAAGCACCAATTGGAAAAAGTTTCGGGGTCGAGGCTTGAGGAGAAACTCCCAGACTCACAGAGAGTTCACTGGAGAGACCCACAGGGTCCTGGAGAATGCACAAGCCCACACACCCGGGAACCAGCACCAGAAGGGCCCAATTTGTTTGTGGGAAGCAGCAGAGGGGACTGAAATCTGAGAGAGAGCAGAATAAATGCCATTGCTCCTCTCTGACCCTGCCCCCACATACAGCATCACAACCCAGCGACCTGGGTCACCCCGCCCTGGTGAACACCTAAGGCTCTGCCCCTCATATGTAAGAGGCATGAACAGACCAAAACATTATGGCTCAGGAAGAACAGCCCAAAGCCCCAGAGCCAATAACTCTAAGTGACCAAGAAATAGCCAACCTATCAGATGCACACTTCAAAACACTGCTGATCAGGATGCTCACAGAACTGGTTGGTTTTAGTCACAAATTAGAGGAACAAATGAAGGCTAAACTAATTTAAATGAAGGGAAATGCACAGGAAACCAATAGTAATGGAAAGGAACCTGGGACTCAAATCAAGGGAGTGGACCAGAAGACAGAAAAAAATGACCAAACAGAAAAGTATGAAGAAACAAGAATTCAAAATCCTTATTTGGAGAGGCTTAGGAACCTCCAGGACATCTTTAAACATTCCAACACCTGAATTATAGGGGTACCAGAAGGAGAAGAGGAACAGCCACGAGTGGAAAACTTATTTAAGCATATAATAAAGGAGAACTTCCCCAATATGGCAAAGGCAATAGACTTCCAGGAAATCCAGAGAAAGCTCAGAGAGTCCCAAAGAAGTTGGATCCAAGGAGGAACACACCAAAGCACATCATAATCACATTAGCCAAGATTAAAATGAAGGAGAGAATCCTAGAAGCAGCAAGAGACAAGGGGACAGTCACCTACAAAGGAGTCCCCATTAGACTGTCAGCTGATTTCTCAAAAGAGACATTACAGACAAGAAGGGGCTGGAAAGAAGTATTCCAAGTTATGAAAGGCAAGGACCTACATCCAAGATTGTGATATCCAGCAAAGCTTTCATTTAGAATGGAAGGGCAGATAAAGTTCTTCTCAGATAAGGTCAAGTTCAAGGAGTTCATCATCACCAAGCCCTTATCATATGAAATGTTAAAGGGACTTATCTAAGGAAAAGAAGATAAAAAATATGAACAGTGAAAGGACAGCAAACTCACAGTTATTAACAACCACACCTAAAACAAAAGCAAACTAAGAGGACAGCTAGATCAAGAGTGGAAACATACAAATGGAGATCACATGGAGGGTTAGCAACAGGGGAGTGGGAGGAGGACAGAGGGGAAGAAGGTACAGAGAAAAAGTAGCATAGATGGTAGGTAGAAAATAGACAGGGGGGAGGGCAAGAATAGTATGGGAAATATAGAATCTAAAGAACTTGTGACACATGGACATAAAATAAAGGAGGGAATGATGGGGGAGGGGGTGTGCAGAGTGGAGGGGAATGAAGGGGGGAATGGTACAACTCTAATGGCATAATTATTAAAATATATATTTTTTAAACCATGGAACATTTACACAATGGAATACTTTGCAGCAGAAATAAAGAAGGAGCTCCTTCTTGTGACAGCATGGATGGAAATGGAGAGCATTCCAAGAAGTGAAGTAAGCCAGGCATTGAAAGACAGATACCATATAATCTTATCTATCAGTAGAACTTAATTAACAAAACAAGGAAGCAAGGAAAACATAACCAGAGACATTGAAATTAAGAACAAAGTGACAGTAACCAGAGGGGCTAAGAGAAGGAAATAACAGGGGAAAGAAGGTAAATGGTCATTAATGAACATGTATAAAGGACCATGAACAAAGCCAAATGGGGGTACAATTGAGGTCGGGATGTGGGGGTGGGTAGGGCAGAGGAAAGTGGTGGTGGGAAAATGGAGACAACTGTATTTGAACATTAATAAAAAATGAATTAAAAAAGTTCAGGTGGGGCTCAATGTCCAGTTTAGGCCAAGTTGTCAGATGGCTTCTATCTACATGCAAAGGCCTCAGAACCCCACTTGGCTCCATATCCAGCCATGCCAGTAAGTAATCTACTTCCCTGAGCACTACACATCAGTGTGCTGCCAGCTACCATCAGGGAGAAGGGGTAGCCGCCATCCATAATGGGCTACCATGAGGCTTAGTGGGGAGTTGGGCATCTGACCACAGCTTTAGTAGCTGTGGAGTGAATGGAACAGACTGGCTGTTCAGAGTATCTAGTTCAGTTTTAGCATTAAGAAAGTAGTGACAAGAAAAAATTCTGAGATATAAATTAAATTATAGCTAGTGGGAAGATGAGGGTGATTAACCAGTTAATAGTTGTGGGCCAACTAACAAAAGATTGCTTATTTCCCTGAATATACTCATCTGTTGGAGCTTTGAGTCAACTTCCAGGTTGCCATCTAAAAAGAAACAATTGACCACCTGATACTGCTGCATCCTGCTTATGCATGAACCTTCTGGACTGTTGCCTACAATCAGTAAAAAGTAGTAAATATTTGTTTCCTTGGGCTGTGTACCTATTCTAGAACTGTCCCTGCTTTACCTTTTGCAGCCACAGCCCCCCTTATTTATAGCCAATGTAAATTTTTGCAAAACAACTTCTTTATAAAGAGCTTCATCAGCACCAGGACAGTTGACATGTTTGTCTTTCCCCTTTACCATAGTCTGGCTGCTGCTGGTTTAAACTGCATATCCAGGACCTGGTCCTTTTTATTAGCTAGCATATGGCTCAATAAACCCTTTCTTTCAGAAAAGCTTTCAGCAGTGAAGGGTTTTTTTTTTAACAGCTGAGATGTGCAGTACACTTAGAAATGTTTTTACCAAAATGAGTAAAATAGAAACAAATTGGCTGTGATGGGTATAGGCTTCAGTTGCCTTGAAAATTTGAGTTGTGAATGTCCCAGAGCCTCTCTCTGGGCAATCTCTGAGCTCCCTGAAAACCAGATGCTTTCCTCACTGGGCAGTCTAGGCCGGTTCAGGAGGGCTTGGCTGAATGGTGTGCTCTTTTGCCCTTGGCTCTCCAGAATAGATCCCTACATTGGGGTTCGGAGGTTGGATGTGACCTGTATTTGCATTTTGTTTGGCTTTCCCTTTAAAATATTTTTTTGACTTTGTCATCAATTTTTACAGATTGGGAGATTTCACTTAAAACTTAAGACTGTGTTTACTTGAAGACCAGTAGATCAGATCACACTGTGCCCTCACTGCCTCAGTGGTAGCAACAGATGGAGGCCTCTTGGGGCTGGGCTTATTTTTCCAATTTGCTACAGTCCCTGCCAATCCCCTCAGTCCTCCAATAACAATGCCATATAATATAGGTATATAGAGGTAGATAGATAGATGATAGATGATAGATGATAGATAGATAGATAGATAGATAGATGATAGATAGATAAGTGACATATGTATCTCAGCAGTCCCACGATCTGCCATCTGCAAGCTGGAGACCCAGTAAAGCCATTGATGTGATTCAGTATAAGTGAGGGCCTCAGAACCAGGGAAACTGTTGGTATAAATCCAAGTTCTGGAGCAGGAGAAGATGAGATTTACTCAGCGAGGCTAGAAAAAGGGGACAAATTCCTCCTTTGTCTGCCTTACAGTGCTCACCTAGTTAGTTATTTTGCTTTGTGGAGGATCACTTATTTTATGAATCCATTCATTCAAATGTTAATCTCACCTGAAAATGCCCTAACAGACACACTTGGAAACATGTTTAAAGTGGCCACTCAAATTGACATGTAAAATTAATCATTACTGGGATCCTTGATAGAAAAGTTTTCTTTCACTCTGTGATGTTATATGAGGTCTAGAAAGCATCCAGCCATGTACTATGAAAAATAGAGACATTTATTGAAAAAGATACAAGAAACATTGTACATAGGACAATGACACCTCAGTCTCCTTCAGAGTAGGCACCTTGGGTCTTTACACAGTTCTCCCAGCATCTCTTCTACTGTTAAACACTCTGCAATATCCTTTGTTGGAATTGCCATCAGCTGCCCCATTTTATTTTCCTGAATCTCATTGGTGGTCTGAAATCTCTTACCTTTCAAAGGTGGTTTTAGTTTTGGGAAAAGCCAGAAGTCACAGGGTGCCAAATCTGAGCTTTGACTCATCCCACAGCGGGCCTGAGTCACCTGGATGTTTGATGTTTCCCCAAAAAACTGTATAAGATGTGAAGCATGAACAGGCACAGTGTTGTGATGAAGCTGCCAATCACCAGTTGCCCACAACTATGGCTGTTTTTATGTATTGCATCTTTAAACTGATGAAGAACTCCTTACTAATTGTTTGGCCTTAAGGGGCATACTCGTGATAGACAACACCCTCCCAATTTAAAAACATAGTTAATATGGTCTTGATCTTACAGAGACTTTGCCACACCTTCTTCAGGTGTGGAGAAGCAGGTGACTTCCACTGGGACGACTGACCCTTCATTTCTGATTCATGGCCACAGACTGTTATGACCTTCTTGTGGAAATCTGGTTCATTGGGAGGGGTTTGAATTAAGTCATTAGTGACTGCTACACGATGCTCCTTCTGCTCTAGTAGAAGAAGCCGTGGAATGAATTTTGCCATAACGCATGCAAAGATCCTGCATGAAAATCTTGCACACAGTAGTTTTTGGAATCCCTGAATCTGCTTCTGCTTCTCACACTGTCAGTTGCTGGTCTTTGTTAATTGTAGCTCATACATGTTCAACATTCTTAGGTGTTCTGCTTGTTGCTGGCCTTCCAAAATGTGGGCCACTTTCAATAGATTCTTGAGCATCTTTTTAAAAAAAGATTTTATTTATTTTTTTTAGAGAGATGGGAAGAGAGGGAGAAAGAAAGAGACAGAAACATTAATGTGTGGTTGTCTCTTGAATGCCCTCTACCAGGGACCTAGCCTGCAACCCAGGCATGTTTCCTGAGCAAGAATCAAACCAACGACTCTCTGCTTCACAATCTGGCACTCAATCCACTGAGCCACACCAGCCAGGGCAAATTCTTGAGCATCTTTGAAGCATTTGTGCCACACTTTTATTTGTGCTGCACTCATTGATTCATCCCTGAAAGCCTTCTGAATCATCTGAATAGTTTCTGCAGAGAAATATTACAGCTTAATGCAAATTTTCATGCAGATTCATTGCTCTACTTGCTCAATCACTTTGAATGTGATGGCCATACAGTACAAATCCTCACTCAATGGTTAAAACTGCCCCGACTGACTAGTACAGTATAGTTGTCATTGTTCACACATACTCATTGAAGTCCACTCTCCTTGGCTGCCAGGTTACATTGATGTTGTGCAAACTGTTTTCATTATATTACAATGGTGGGACTTTTTCCAGACATAACTTGTAATAAGAAATATGTATTTGGTTTTCTTTCCATATCTGGCACAGAGCTTCTAAAGCCCTTAGAGCTTCCTAAGTGATAAGAGTGATAAAGGTGTTTTGATAGTCATAACAAGCTCCTTTCATGTACATTTGAGTTTATGTTAGTAAGGTGATTTTGGGTAGTGGGGACAGGGGCTGGAGTTTGGATCAGTTGCCAATCAATGACTAAATTAGTGCTGGTGTAATGAAGCCTCTCTAATAAAACAGAAGTATGGGTTTTGGAGAGCTTCCAGGTTGGAGGACACTGGAGAATTGGGAAGAGTGATGTACTTGGAGAGAGCATGGAAGCCCTGAGTCCTTTCCCCATACCTTGCCCTATTGCATGGTTCCATTTGGCTGTTATGATAAACCTAAAAATAAAAAGCCAAAGTGAGAGGTAAAAAACCTTCATTTGAAAGAGAACTCTAAGGATACACTGAACCTCAAGAAAAATAAACATAAGTGTGGGTCCTAGAGCAAGTAATCCTGAAACATCGCTGGAGGCAAAATGAGAAAACTAAAGCTGTCTTACTTCGAGCATATCATGAGAAGGCAAGGTTAATTGGAAGAGACAATAATGCTGGGAAAAATGGAAGGCAGCAGGAAAAGAGGAAGAAGAACTATGAGATTAATTGACTTCATAAAAAAAAAGCCATAGGCATGAGTCTGTAGGAGCTGAACAGGGCTGTTGAGGACAGGACATTGTGGACATCACTCATTCACAGGAGTTGCCAGGAGTCAGAACTAACTCAATGGCATGTAACACACACAAAAGTTATTATGCCAAATTCAAACCGTCCAGAAGTTCAAGGAACAAGGCAGATCCTCTGGAATAGCTATTCTGACTCCTTTTTTAAATGGATCAACTTACGCCAACATTTCACATAAATAAACTGGTAATCTAGTAAGTAAAATGTTCCTCTGAGTTTTATGAGCTGCTCTAACAAAATTAATCAAACCCAAGGAGGAAGGTCATGGCAACCTCTAATTTACTGCCAGTCAGTCAG